GAAGAAGTTCTCAAAATATGAACTGTGCCCGTATCCGTTGCATCTTTTTGATGACTATGGAATGAGAAAAGGAACCAAGTCTGCCTTATACAAAGCATTCACACCAACTGAACAGACAAATCTCCAAGGGTGTGTGTACGTCTTAGATGGAGGATATTTGCTCCACGAGGTGGTGTGGACCAGGGGTCAATCATGTTCATCAATTTGTGGAAGTTATGTTGCATTTGTTGAGTCCAAGTACAAAGACAGTGCTGCAGTCGTATTCGATGGTTACCTTCAAGATGGTACTGAACATGCTGAGCGAACAAGAAGATTACGCAAACAGATATCAGTTGATATCATGTTAGACGAAACAATGATGGCGACAGTGCCACAAGAAAAACTCCTTTGTAATTGAAGAACAAAATCCGTCTCATTTCAATATTGAAGAACAAATTTTCGGCAGCCTGGGTTCACACAAAGCAGGCACAAGAGGACGCAGATACACTTATTGTCACCACAGCAATGGATCTCGCACAACAGCATAATTCTGTAGTTATTGTGGGTGAAGAAGTAGATTTGTTGGTGATCATGATTGGTCGTTGTCGGGGTGTACATTCGAATGTATACTTTTTAAAGCCAAGTAGAGGAGCAGTTTCGGAACTCATATTTTCAACTGACTGTGCACCAGAGCATGTCTATAAGTGACAAAATACAGTTCTTATATGCCATGATAGGATGTGACACAACCTCGGCCTCGTTCAAAGTTGTCAAAATTCAATTTCCTTCAACCATCGAAAAATCCTGCTTTAATCCTAATTGTTCAAAGTTTCAAAGATCCTACGGCAAATGCTGATACTGTTATCAATGCTGGCATCACCTTTTTTACTGCAGTTTATGAAATTAACGAGAAGGAAGATACGTCCATGAACAAATTGGGGTATAAATGCTATACCTTGGGTCTGCAAATAGAACAACAGCCCATTTTGGCATCCTTACCCCATACCACCGAACATAAACGTCTCTGTTTATGTTCGGTGCCCATATACGGAAGCTGCAGCATAACAGCATTCTTTGAGAGTATAATTTCAAGTGCAACAGTGGCTCGGAACCACAAAAGATCCCGAGCAATGGGGTTGGAAAAAAACCAAGCCAGTACCAACGCTACAGTCACCAGCACCAGACGCAGTTTTGAAACTAATATCCTACAAGTGCAAGAAAATCTGTCCGACCAACTGTGGGTGCCAAAAAGCAGGCCTTATTTGTTCCAGTATGTGTCTGAATTGTGAAAATAGCTGCAATAACATGGCCGTTACAGACATTGAAGAAGAAGCAGAGGATGATTCGGAGTTTTCTGATCCTCTTGAAGGTAACTACATGAATAATTCTTTCGCACCTTTATTTTTCCTCTAACAATTTATTTGTGTTATCGACCAAATAAGTCGAGTACGTATAAAAATGTCGAAGAAATCCTCAATAGGTATTGCTTTTATATCTAATTGATATATTGTTGAAATTATTGAATTAAGTCAATGATTACTTGTAACAGGCGTAGAAGAACTTGAAAGCTGCCCTGGAGAAGCCACGGAGTCTGTGTCTAGGAGGAGAATTTCATTAGACAGGGATATGTTTATCTATTTGGAATAAAAACTATGAATTAGTTGAATTTTTTATTTTTTTCAAAAAATCACTGATTCCACTAAAACTTCAACACTTTTTTGCATGGAAACCAAATGACATACCAAAAAGTATCATGAGACATGAATTGTAGATAATTTTTCCCTCTTGATTTTACTACTCATTCATTTTTTGTGTGAACGGCTTCCTTTGCGAGTTGAAAGCTGAAAACCATCAAAAAACATAATTTTGTGAGCTCTTTTGGTATTTTCTGATATTTGCCGTAGAAATTTTTGAAACTTTAGATTCGTGTTGAGCACACCAAGAAATAAAGAATAAGCCAATGAAAACAATTACACCAGAACTTTCCACCCTGAACTACCGTTTGATTAGACTAAAAATTCAGTTCGCATATCTCACATATTGCTAAGAAAGCCTACTTCGAATTGAAAACGATATATGCCAATTGGGATACTATGTGAATCTATAGTATTATCGCATGCAAACTAGCAAACTATGCGGATGCTGTGTATGGCCCTTGCCTGCTGAAATCAGACCAGTTAAGGTTACAAAGACTCCAAAATACCTGTGTGCGTTTGATATGCGGCCTCAGGAAAGGGCGGACCACGTGACTCATTCGTTGGTAGCTTTACGATGGCTAAATATGGCAGAAAGAAGAGCTTTACATTCTTCTACTCTATTTCAAAAAGTTTTGCTAACCAAATGCCCTGCTTATCTTTATAATAAAATCACTTTTCGTACGGACGTTCATTATTAATGTTCGGCATAAAACAATGCTCACACCTCCTATTCATAAAACTAGTCTCTTTCGTGGATCTATTACTTATTACGTTGCTTGGCTAATGAATAGGATTCCCTGTGCTTATAGAAAATTGAACTCAACAATTATTATTCCAAATTTTTTGGGATTTTCTCTCCTCGTTTCAATAAAATATGCATATTATTTCAAAATACGTCTAGTAAGGACAAATCAGATGATTTGCCCCAAAATTTCACTGCGTTTAAAGAATTTTTCTATCAGAGATCCTGAAAGGAAAATTCACTAGCTTGTCAGTGACAATTTGTATCGAATAAAGTTTGGAGAAGATAAATAAAGGTATATAGAAAAAATATCAAATTTCCCCTTTTCGGGACCGAATCTGCTCCCGTTTTCAACATAAAAAATGGTTATTTGAATAGCAAAGTCGTATCTGCCTTGAAACTTTTCAGTTTTATGAGCCTATATCTGTATATAGTCATGAAAGAAACATTTTTATGTATTTCAATCACAGTTTTCCAGATATAAAGTGAAGGGAGGGTCATGATATTCAATTTTTTTTATTGTAGTGGGCAGGTTTGTCTGTTCTTGATATTATTCAAGATTCTAATTGCATTTTTTTTGTACGTGCTGCCGATGAGTTACCCCAGAGAACAATCCCATAATTGAGATGGGATTGGAATAGAGAAAAGTATAATGTTCTATGTGTAGTAAGGTGCTCGCATATTGAAAATTGAACTGGATAATTCAAGTTCAGTTTAAAAAAAAAAGTGTTTAAAAGTGTTTTTAACCGCCAGCTTAGTTGCAAAGCAACCCTCGAAAGTCAGAGACTTGTGTGAGTTAAGAAGTTGCTTAAAATGACTTGATAATAATGATAATAATGATGAAAGATTGAGATTTTTTATTATTAGTTACTGTTTTAATACTTGGAAAGTTTAGGTTGTTGTCCAAATAAATTTGTTGTTTGACATAATATACATGTATAATTATCTTCGGGGGAATATTAGTGGGAAGCAGTCATTGTGACCAATATCAGTTAGATATCTACGTTTTATTTTTCGAGCTTTTGAAAATGTTTATTTTCATTATCAAGACTTGAAACATGAAATACTATATAAAATCAGCGCGAAAAGAAAACATATGTGCATAAATTAAATTCCCCCGAATATAACCTATAGAACAGTCACGAAAACTTCCTCTTATTGTATAATTATCAGTAGAGGAGAGGATTAGACGACTGTCTAGGTTGAGGATGAAACTGAAAATTCCTTTGGGTATGCAGTCGAAGTAAAACAAAGTTTACTCTTGTTTCTGTTCAATCTTTCGAGTCTTTATCGGCTCTTCATCAGGAACTCTATAAAACATTAAAATTGATATGAAAATTCTATCGTTATTATCGATTACTAAATAATTATCTATAATTTATATTTCATCAATTAATAGCCATCCTTCTTACCTGAGGAATTGGAAGTGAAATATTTGAAGGCGTTTATCAAAAAGTTTCAAGATCAGCTAACGAATATCTCGAGAACTATGGATAATAGACACATTATTGATAAATACGGAAATATCATGAGCGCCAATTTTGTATAGATTGATTTCTTTAGCTAAAACGCACCATTTTAGGGGATTACCGACAATTGGACGCGGATAATTGGACGCACGAAAATTGGACGCGGATAATTGGACGCGGCGACAATTGGACGCGGCGACAATTGGACGCGGCGACAATTGGACGCGACGAAAATTGGACGCGGCGACAATTGGACGCATGCGTAAATAAAAATAATTTTATAATTCCAATGAAATTTATTGCATGGAATATGCAGGGCTCATATCTATAATATAACAAATACCTAACCTAACCTCGCGTCAATTGGACGTGGAAAATTCATATTACGATATGAGATAGGAAAATAATTGTCAAACGAGGCCATAGGTATTTGTTATAATTATGGATATAAGCCCATCAGTATTTCATATTTTATACAATGAATTTCATTGGAATTATAAAATTATTTTTATTTACGCATGCGTCCAATTGTCGCCGCGTCCAATTTTCGTCGCGTCCAATTGTCGCCGCGTCCAATTGTCGCGCGTCCAATTGTCGCCGCGTCCAATTGTCGCCGCGTCCAATTATCCGCGTCCAATTTTCGTGCGTCCAATTGACCGCGTCCAATTGACGCGACACCCATTTTAGGTGTTACATAGACAAACAAATAAATAAGGGCTCATATTATTTGTTCTCTATGCCCTCTGCACGCTCCATAGGTCTGGGGAATTTCAGTATGTTTACCTCATGACTACTCCAAACATACCTCTGGAGTCAAAATTCTGCCTTCTTTCTTCACACCCATTGGCTAGACTATGATATCAAAAAATAAATTCAGGAATATACCGCTCACAAGGGTATGAAAAATACTGAGGTTATAATAAATTACACAAACATCACAATTCAATGAATGATTATATTAGTTGGAATTTGGGGAGTGAAAAAAATCGCTTTTATGCGATATTTTTGTTGTTTCACTGTTTATCTATGTCTACAATTTATTCAGATGATGTATTGCTCTTAGTCAAGAATATCCAATTTAACATTATATTATCTTCATTTATTTTATTCCAGTGTTGAATGAAAATACTAAGCAAACCTCAAGTAAACCAAGGCAAAGAAAATTAACAAACGCTGAAATAATGAAAACATCTAGCCTTTTCGCAGAATCACCACAAAGACCTTCTAGGACTGATATAATGTTTGATAAGTTGAAGGAACAGGAGGTTAAAAGAGTGAAACAGGAGAAGTCAATGGAATCATTTGAACAAACTATCGAAAATTTGGACATAGAAAGTGATGACAAAAGCGATGAAGATATTAGTAAAAATGAAATTATATCTGTCGACGATGAGGAAATTGTTCCAAGGAGAGTAATTCCACCATTACCTGGAAGAAAACCGATAAATAGAAGGAGAAACAAAAATCATGGTGAGGAATATCTTTGAGTGATATGGTTTTTCTTCAAACGTCAAAAATTTTGCAATTTTTTTTTTATATATGAAAAATATCAAAAAAGTTTATGTTTTCAATATGAAAATATATTCATCATTATTCCAATCAATCTTGGACATTTGAAGAAAGAATAGCATATTTCATGTAGGTTGCTGAATCACAAGCTGCCACAAAAGCAACATTTCAACTTCATATTAAACAAGATAACCATCGTAAATGAATGAAATTTGATTGAATATAATGAAACATATGCAGAATGTTTCATAATTGGATGTCAATATTCGGGGAGGCGATTCTTGGGCCCATTCTAAGAAGAAAGTTTCATATGAACGTATGACCTAAACGTCCTAAATTTTGAGATACAGGATGGTGAAGTTCTCAAAAATTAATAGTTTTTTATTATCTGTAATACGACTTCAGATATCCTGATGAAATTTGGCATACATGTACTATGTATAAAGAGGCATCAGTTAGTGTACCACTTTTTTTTCTGTTGCCACCAGTGGCGTTCGTATGGAATTTCACATTCCTACACTCAGTTCCAAAAAAAGTGAGGCACTGGATATTTGACCTATCTTCTTGAAAAAAAAAATAGGCCGATTTTTATTGTTTTTTTTTATTTGTTGGTAGGTAATGCATTTGTCTTTGAAAAAAATAAAGAGGTGAAAATTTTTTCAAAGCCTCCTTGATGGTGGTGGAATGACTCGAACCATGATTTATTCTTAATTTTTGACTCACCCTGTTTGTTAATTGAGTAATGACATAGAAAGTGCTTGCACCCTATACGAAAGAGGCTTCTTTTGCGAGCATTTTGTTTTTTATTCATTGGTTTATCTCTAAAATTTTCCGAATTACAGCTTTTTTGCTGATACCTTACGCTTATCCCACAAATTAAATTTATTGAACTTTCTGCTCCCGGTCAATTTTGACCTCGCCAGGAATTTGTTCCTATTTTTTTTGTATTGCACTAATTTACTCAAAATTTTCTTGATTATGGGTCCTCATAAGGTCCTTTGTCATCCCTGAAATTTGTATACCCTAATTTTTTTAAATTTTCATTTAATCTTTGTTTATTGAATCCCAATTTTTTGCTGTTTTTGGAGCGCGGGGAAATTTTGTGAACAACCATCAATTAAAAATTTATACATGATCCGATTGGTTTCTATGATACATTATTTGAAAGCTAAGAAGGTCTACTTTTCGATTGTGCAATTACTTTTTTAGACGAAGTCGTCCATTTTTCAATAAAATTAGAAAAAGCGGGGTCAAGAAAAAAACGCACTTTTTTTTCGGTGGTTTTTTTCTCCGTGCTCTTTATTTCTAACATTTCAACACCTTAACTAGTGTAACGGGGGAATTCACACCTTTTCATCGATGTATATAAGTCATACCTTCGATATCCCGGGAAAAAAACAGTATATCTAAATGTACACGCTATAATTTATTACTTTCGTTCCTCCGTCGTTTGCCGCGTGTGTGCTCTACGTGGAGCTCGGGTCGTCTGCTACGAACCATGCGGCCACGCAGGGTATGATAGCAACAGAATTCCTCTTTCACATGAACTTTGAATCATGAGAAAATATGCCTTTTCAACAAAGTTATTGAATAATTTGTCCCCCCGCCGATGTGTAAATACACGGACTGTGCTCTCCGGCATACATCAGAAGCTCATTATTCGAGGTGCGCTTCGTGCCGTTTTTCTCGAAACCGGGTAAATTTTCGAGAAAAATGATGAGGACCATTTTTGTAGAAAATTTACTGAACTTCAATTTTTATCTGAACCGAAAATCTCTAACTGCCATATTTTAGGAGATATTGGCTGAAAACCTATTTTTCTGGTCTTTTGGGGCCATTTTCTTCGCCATCGCACGCGTTTTCCAGTCAAACTTTGTCTCATGTTTAATGAGGTACCAAAAGCTACTTCCAACCGGAAGATGAAAATAGTGCGTAATTAACGTTAACTTTGCCTTTTTTCCACCTTCATTTATTGGACTAATGATCAAAATCTGATAAAATTCAACTACAATTATCATTAACCTCACTTAACCACTGGCGTGCTTCCATCGGATCGGATCTATTCGTGTTTTCTCCCCCTCTGCCTAGCATTGTACCATCTTAGTAGCGCCTGAACTCTAATAATCTCTTATTCAAAATTTTCCATTTCCACTCAAAAACCAGAAAAAAGTGTATGGAAAGAAAAGTTGTAGGTAATTTTATCAGCTCTTATTTGAAACCGGGAATTCTTTTTTACGACGAACCGTTTCCGACCTATATGCGTCAATCCCAAAAGCGGTACCTTCTCAATGGCCTCCCCTCCTCCGGCTCACCTCTTAGGCGTCAGGACCTTTAGCGTGTTGACTCTATCAACACCTCCAACGACTTTGTCGTATTATTTCTACTTCTTCTATTTTGTAACAAACGCAGGGTCGCATCAAGGCCGAAAATTTTTAAGTTTAAATTGATTTTATTCTGAATATGTATTCGTTATTACTATTATCAAGTATACTAGTGTGCACACACAATTCCCCGTGGAATTATAGTGCAAAGTGCATAAGTTTGTTCATTGTACTATAGTGAAGTCTAAAATAAATGTATTCGTTTCCGAATATCTCTTTTATTAATTGACCAATTCTATTGATTTTGTTCTTGTTTGAAAGATAATTGAACAAAACTGAACATAATTATTGAGTTTTTTCATAAAACAATATGGCAGAAACACAAAGTTGGCCGAACTGAAATACTTGCTGGAACTTTGAGTTGCACTGTACATTTTTGAGTGTAATAATCTGAGAGCGTGGACTTTTCTGAGCATAACAAGAAGTCAAACATGCAAATCCTATCCTATTCTTCTCTCGTAGTTTTGCAAAATCAAGTTGTATTATAACAAATAAAAAATATTGCTTGTCTTCAGAATTATTGACTTTTGTTTATGTGTGTATCTATTCGGCGGAGAGTTGAAATTCAAGATGGTGCTTTCGAATGACCATATAATTTTTATCAAAATTTTAATTTTGAGATGAATAAGATTTCACAAAAATTTCCTGCCATGAGACTATTTTCTGTGGGATGATTCGGAGGCCGGATTCACATAAATGGAAGAACTTGAAGCTCATGGGAGACATATAGGTATCTGATCTTCTCAAACGTTTGTTTTTGCTTATATTCATTTTCGTTTTTTTGTACGTTGAATTAAATTGAGTTTTTTTTTTCATAATTTTCCGGCAAATCTGAAAGAAAGGAAGATATTATGTTTTCAAGTTCGGTGTGTCCGCCATTTTGTTTAATGGAAAAATTCAATGAATATGGAGTTGACGTCTTGTTCAATTCTCTTCGAAACAATACCAAAATCAATTGAATCGGTCCATTAATAAAAAAGTTTTTCTTCTAAAACAAAATTCTGTTTTTTTTTTTAATTAATGAAGTATTATTCACCTGAAAATCTTGAGTATCGACAGCTGTGCCACCAATATCATTGGAAAATATATCAGGGCTTGTCTCTGTGTCTGAAAGTATTGGGCATTAAAATTCGCAAAAATGGGAAGGATTGCAATTTCTATGACTATTGAGAACATTCTTTCACACATATAGAGCTGCGAACAAATCCCTCCCAACAAATGTAATTGAATTTTTTTATACCAAGATTGTTTCATCAATTTCTAGGTACTTTCCTTATCAAAACTTATAACAAAATAATAGGTCATTCTTTAATACCACAATAGTTCGACTTATCAGAAGCAGTTCTTCTTTTTTGATGATTTGGAATGTGAATAAATGGTTAAATATTATTTTCATGAAATTTGGAATTGTTGTTCATTTATTGAAATTGTTATTTAACGGAAATATGTAAGGAAAATGTGAACAATTAATATATTTCAGAACTAGCACCTTTAGATGTGAAAGTATCCTCAACAACAAGAAATGGTGGTGCATCCAAGAATTCTCAAAGTCCTACTTCTAGTATTGAATCCGCTGCAACTGCATCAGTGAAGCCATTGAGAAAAAGGCAGAACATCAACAGAAGTCAGTCAGAAATTCAAATCGAAAATGTGGCTAGTACTAGTGATGACCACAATTCATCACTTCCATCAAGTACTATAGAATGTCCGATGTGTGGACAATATTTCTTAGAATCGAAAATAGAGGTAAGATTTTATTTTATTGAAAAAGCAAAATGTACTGTGCATCCCATTTCGGTCGAAACTGACAGGTTTCTCGGTTGTTATTAATGTTATCAAGAAACTCAATATGGTCTAATCAGATTTTGCACAACTGTTTCTGTTTATGAGATACAGGGTGATTTTGAGTATTTATACATCTACAGGCTGATTCACGGTGGATGGCACATTAGAAGTTTCTGGTGAACCAGACAACGGATCATTTTGAAAATTCAATGGAGGGCATATTCGGACATTCTCTAGCCAACTAAAATATTTTCGATAATGCGGTGTTGCCGCTTCTATTAGAAAGCAGTAGCAACTTTGATTTTTCAAATGGAACACTCTGTATTTTATTGCATTTTTAGATTCTCCCTGAAGAGCTGATTTCATCGATGTATTACACTTGGGGTCTAGCGGAAATGATTACAGAGATATAGGGTGTGAAAAATCGACATTTTTCAACTTTAGGAATTTTTTTTGTCAAAACTATTCATTATTGATCAAAACGGCTCACATGTCCCTATCTCAACTTTTGATCAATTATCTACTAACATTTAATTGAAACATACAGGGTGGTGCAGAATTCAGAATCTTGATCACCCGGTATATGTCCCAATTAAATATCAGTAGATAGTTAATCAAAAGTTGAGATGGGGACATGTAAGCCGTTTTGACCAATGATGAATAGTTTCGACACAAAAAAATCCTAAAGTTGAAAAATGTCGATTTTTCACACCCTATATCTCTGTAATCATTTCCGCTAGACCCCAAGTGTGATACATCGATGAAATCAGCTCTTCAGGGAGAATCTAAAAATGCAATAAAATACAGAGTGTTCCATTTGAAAAATCAAAGTTGCTACTGCTTTCTAATAGAAGCGGCAATACCGCATTGTCGAAAATATTTTAGTTGGCTAGAGAATGTCCGAATATGCCCTCCATTAAATTTTCAAAATGATCCGTTGTCTGGTTCACCAGAAACGTCTAATGTGCCATCCACCGTGAATCAGCCTGTATATCTATGAAGTTATCAGAAATTATGTTTGAACTGAGAGCTATTTTTTTTTTCGGGGTATGGTTTTGGAGATAGGACACAAACTTATATTTTTTCAATATACCTCCATGTATTTTAGTATTTAGTTGTATTCCTCCTTTGAATCAATGCTCAAAATAATGAAACTACATTATGATGAATTTTTACTAGTAGGCCATCAATTTTCCAAATCCTACTTGAAGGATTGTTATGTGTGATTTATTATACAGTATGTCTGAAAAAGTTGGCAACAAATGAAAAACTTTCAATTATCAATTTTAGGAAAAAACATTCTCATAAGAAGTTCTGCAAGCCCTGTAAATCAAGGTATTTCAAAATAAACTGAGTTTGCTCAAGAGTGATGTACCTTTATTGACTATATCGAGAATTGATATTGAGGAATGTTGACTAGAACTGAAAACTATGTTGAAATATTCAATAATATCTATGTAGGATTTAATTTGCTTACACATACATTACATACACCCTAGGTAAACACTGCCCATTTTTTCCAATGGTATATGGATTCCTAGTTTGTGATTCGGAAATTTTTATACAGACATCTTCACGTAATTATATTGGGATTAGACCTCTCGAAACTGGAAAAAGTTCCAGAGATATATTACACATTTGAATAATTTTCTACTTGCTTGATTGCTTTCCGTGAACATTTTTATGTTCTCAGGGTTTTCAGCTTTTGTTATTTGTTTTCAGGATCGAGAAATACGAATACATGTTTTTGAAGTCTAATTATACGAGATTCAAATAAGAGTTTGAAAGTGATTTTCCATCCTCATATTCTTCATTTCTCTCCCTATTTCTCAGCTCTGTTTGGATTTAGGCTACAAACTCATGAGATATTTTAGGTTTGAATATCTGAGTATTATGGGAACTCGCATACATTGTACATTGTATTCAACATTATTTTGGAATTGCGGCAATATGCCATAAAGTTTTCAAAACATACGAATTTTGTCATCACGATAAGCCAGCCAGCCAGGATGGACATAAGAACATTCTATAAATATCTGCAAGTTTAACGAACTGTATCTCGCAAACAAAGGATCTTTTTTCATGGGAATTTTTTAAATTTTCGTGAGACCCCCTATCACCTCTCGAAGTGCGTCCCACATATAATGAAACACCCTGTATTTTAGAATTAGAAACAAAACTGAACTTCTTTATACAAACAAATCACGAATCAAACAGCCATCAGTACCAAAATTAAATTTGCTCTTTCTCATCCACCTATACTTGCCCACTATGAGCCAAGCCTGCCAACAGACTTACAGACTGATGCATCTAAGACTGATGCATCTAAATTACATGGACTTGGATATGTACTTTTACAGAAGCACGAACATGATTGGAAGCTAGTTCAGTGTGGATCCAGGTTCATTTCAGATACAGAATCAAGATATGCAATGATTGAACTCAAAATGTTGGCAATCACCTGGGCAGTGAATAAATGTCGATTATATCTGTTGGGCCTGGATGAGTTTATAATGAAAACAGACCATAAACCAGCGTTTGAAAGAAAAACTATCTGGATATGTTTTTGGAACAGAGTGGGTCAAGAGCCAGAATCATTTGATCCCAGATGCGTTATCAAAAGCTCCTACAATGTATCCAGAAGATACGGATTTGTTGGCGGAAGAATTAAAAACATATTTGATTTCTCTCATCAGCCATCAATTGTGTGAAATAAATATACAAGATGATATAGAATCTCAAGACCCCAGAATATTGGATATAAAAAAATCTGGGAGCGAAGATCGTGAGTGTCAATTACTAATTGACCATATCAAACGTGGTTTTCCAGATTCGAAAAGAGGTATTGAAAGTTGCCTCACACCTTATTGGAACGTGAAAGATGAATTAAGCGTGGAAGATGAGATAATACTGAAAGGTTGTCAGATCCTTATTCCAAAAACTATGAGAAAATTAGTTTTGCAAAGACTTCATGATTCTCATCAAGGTGCGGAGAGAACTAAACGTCGAGCCCGTCAAATAGTATATTGGCCTTCTATGTCTAACGATATTAAAAATTTTGTGAAATGTTGTGAATTATGTCAAACTTGCCGACCATCTCTCCAGAAGGAAACAATAATTCAAAATCCAGTACCAGAGCGTCCTTTTATAGATGTTTCTGCCGATTTATTCACGTGTACCGGCAAACATTATATGGTATATGTTGACCGTATATCTGGTTGGCCAATTGCGTGTCACTATACTAATAAGGATCCAAATAGCTCGGAACTTATTGAAGATTTGAAAACAATTTCCACAGACACAGGTGCACCCATACGACTTCGATCAGATAATATGCCCTTCAGCTCCTACGAATTCCAAATATATTTCCATATTATGCTCAGAGTAATGGTCATGCAGAAGCAGGGGTCAAAGCCATGAAGTCATTAATCACGAAATGTAGTGAAAATGGGCAATTGAATAACGACAAGTTTTGTTTGGGGCTGTTGGAATGGAGAAATACACCTTAGTCGAATGGTCGCTCGCCTGCCCAAATACTTTATGGTCATCAATTGAGATCTTTAGTGCCCGCTCATAGAAAGTCGTTTTCTCCTCAGTGGCAACTTAATGCAGATTTGTGCGAGAAGAAAGCCATGACTCAGTTGATGTATCAGAAAGACATCTATAACCAGCACGCTAAGGATTTACCTCAAATTGTGTTAGGAAATACGGTGATAATACAAAATCCGAGGACTGAGTTATGGGACAGGAGTAGTAACAGAGATAGGTAGATACAGAAGCTATACAGTTGAATTACCAAGCGGAAGAGTAGGTACTAAGAAAAAATCGGAGATTTTTACTCCCCGTCCCCGGAGGGATAGTGAAGAATGGAATATTATCCAAAGTAAAAAGGGGAGATGATGTGATATGATAATATTGTTGATTATTATGAGTTGTGGATACACCCTATAGTGGGAGAAAAGGGGATTGACAGTTATTGTCATATTGATTGGTTTTGAATAAAAAAGTTATACTATAGCTAGTGGCGGAAAAATTCTTATTCTTGGAGGGGGTAATTACCCGCATTACCCCTTCCCATATCGACGCCCTTGGAAAGACATCTGTTTCATTCAAAGAAGGTTAAAAAATGTATAGTGTATGTTCAATAAACCATCCTTCTCACAAGAGAACATGGCTACTGGTGTGAGCGAGTCAATATTGCACACCTTCATTAGTATACGACAGAGAAAATATTATAGCGAGATCAGTTCCAGATCTATGTGTCTGCTTCTGCAAATGTATAATGTATGAACAATATGAATAACATATTTAAATAATTTCAGCTATGCTGAAATAACGTGAGTGTTTATGTTATTTTCGAAGTTTTGAAATTTTATGAATGAACAGGGTCAAGATACAGCTAATAGCTGCGAGCGGCATACCATTTCTGAACTCTACTAAATTATTCCCATTGCGAATAAGGAAGACATCTGTGAACCCTTTACACAACTTAAGGAAGTGCTGACAAGAACGCTATTCACGGTGTTTATCTATGGTGTATTTAATATAAGGCAAATAATGTCTCATTACACGCTTCTCTATTTTCTAGTATAGGTATTGAATTTATTATCAGAAATGAAAGATAACATCACCATGCCAATCTGGATGGTCGATCACTCAAAACTCTGTTTTCTTAAATTTATTTATTTATTTATTCAAGGTAAGGCCACTCAACAGGTCAGAAACCCAATAATAAAGTAGCACAGATTACAAAAATAAACAATAGTTACAAGTTGTCGTGGCTTAAGAAAAGAAAAGAAGTGGAAAAACAAATCAAAGGTCTATATAAGAAACAAAAAATGATTCTCTCGATATATCTCAAATCTTAAATGTTTTGATAATAGTATATGTTTGATGTTTACCAAATCTGTTTTGTCCTGATATGAAAATTCCATATGGATTTCGCTAAATATTTTATATGAATGAAAATGCCAGGGAACTTTAAAGTCACTTTCCTTAAGAAATCCACGAAATTTTGATTCAATATAACTTTTTTCTCAGATATTAAGGAAATCTAACTTCAGCGTCCTATTGAGGCAATGTTCAACTCAATCAAATCTTTTGCATGCATTAGAAATGGGACTCCTGATTAGCTGTACAGGCTGTCCCATTTTCGATGTTCTTACGGGATATCTCACTTGTTTTTGGAGATAAAGATTCGCGGTTTTCGCGAACGTTGGCTACTTTTTTGTGGAACTCACGATACCACAAACAAAATTTTCATAGACTGCTTCGTTTTTGAGATATTGGGCAAAATTGAAGATGTTGCAGTTTGTGACCCCTTCTGTATCGCATCTATCTTTCAACTGATAGGAAAACTACACTCACCGGCAAAAAAAAACCGGCCACCAAAAATTTCCAGTATTGTTCACCCTGTAACTTTTTCAATCCTTGTCCGATTCTTGTGAAATTTCGATCACATCGTAGATTTATGTTCCGAAATGTCAGCCTGAATATTAGTTTCCATGAAAAGCTGATGACTTGGATCATTATACAGGGAAAAACCAAAGTCACTATTTCACCCTTTATTTCTTAACGCCCTGTGGCAAAATTTAGTGATTGAAATTGGTTTCATCATGCTTCGGATTGAAGTGTGATCCTTTGTTAACACAATAGTTTTCGAATCACATCAATATCTTATTTTTAAGAGGAGATACAAGTGTTTTAAGAAAGTATGGCATTTTTCAAATTTCATTAATACTCGTTTTAACAATAATCAGAACCTACATGAACTTATTGATTAACAACTTGAAGAATTAATATCACATATTTCTACCTCATTTTCTTACCACTTGCAGAAAAAATCTCAATTACAAATACAAACAAAAAGCAGAACTGTATATAGTCAATAACGAGTCATTCAACGAGGCATTCAACCGCCGTGGCATGGAGTTGATCAAATTTCTAAAGTAGTATTCAAGAATTGCCTTAAAATCTCTTTGAAGGACGAATCGTAGCTATTGAAGAGTCTCTGACATGGCCGAACTAAGGCGAATGAGCCTCTGAAGTTCATCCCCAAGATGCTCTATAAGTTCACACTTCAATTCAAAACATGATGAAGCAGAAGGTTGGAGAATGGTTCTGAATTATTGTTAATAAAAATAAAAAAATCCATACTTTCTTAAAACACTTGTATCTATTCTTGAAAAGTGGTTATCGACGAGAATCCAAAACCATTGTGTTAAGGGATCACACTTCTATCCAAAACATAATGAAGCTAAGTTTAACCACTCTTCTTTGCCACAGAGCTTTAAGAAGTTAAGGGTGAAAGAGTCACTTTTGTTTTTCCCTATATACTGATCAAGCCATCAGCTTTTCTTAGGACCTTAAATCCAGGCTAACATTCCAAAACATGTATATACGATTTGGTCGAAATTTCACCGAAATCGGACAAGAATTAAAAAAGTTACAGGGCGAACAATTTGGCAAAATTTTTTGGTGGCCGGTTTTTTCGCCGGTGAGTGTAGAAAAGGTCACTTATATAGTTTTTTACGTGAAATCCAATGACGTAGTTAGATTTTCAAAATAAGCTGTTATTATTTAGATATAACCCAAAGTTATGTTTTTTTTAATGGAACACCCTGTATATTTTTTGATATATGAATTATTTGTGCTTTGCACTTTCCACTCATATGATATTTCGAGTATTAGCCTTGAATTTAAATAATTTTGAATTTTTCACTATATTTCTTATTGATCCGCCTTGTAAATGTGCAGCAATATTTTTAATATGAATTTTCATATTAACTCTGTTGCTGATTTAGTGTTTCGTCACACACACATAGTTAAAATTCTACCAACAATCATTATTTAACAATATTCAGCACTATTTATGACTATAAAAGCTGTGAACCTAATTAGTAGGTAGCTATGAAAAAAAGCGAGTGCAGATTGTTTTATAATTATTTTTGTCACCTGTTTACAAATTCTCCAACCAATGGCGAATTATAATCCAGGATATGAAAACTATACGAAAATTTAGAAACCAACTTATATCCAAACCATAATATATAGGTAATCTTTCGTAATTTCGATGTCCTGGATTATTATTCGCCATTGTATGGAAAATTTGTGAACTTTGACAGGTAGTCAGGTGACAACAATTATTAAACATTCTGCACTCGCTTTTGTTCATTGCCACCTACTGATTAGGTCCACTGATTTTATAGTCAATAAATAGTGCTGAATATTGGTAAATGTTAGGGACTGTGGCCTCTTCTTGAATGAGCGTGAATGAGCGGAGAGTGGACTGTATAATATCTTGGTTGCGATTGTCCATATATTCTGATTTAATTCATGGGAATATACAACTATACAATTATTACATGATGATATAAAATTAGATTTTTTATGACATGTCTATTTTATTCGACAGACAGTGATTAATTGATTTATTTCTATAGAAACATTAAAAAATCGACGAAACGCACTGCTCTGATGCAGAGGCAACTTCGAAGAAGTAACATAATAAAATGTTGAACCTCAACAGTAAATAATAAATGTTTGTAAATTTCAACTAGTGTGTGACCAAACAGTCTGTCAGCAACAGGGTAAATATGAAAATTCGTGATATTGAAATATTGAAAATATCACCACACCTTTAGAAGGCGGATCAATAAGAGATATACATATAAAAAAAATTGTAAATTATCTGAATTCAAGGCTAACACTCAAAATATCGTATAGGTGTTATATATTTTTGGAAAGCTCAAAGCATCAATATTTCAAATATGAAAAAATATCCAAGGTGTTCTATTTGAAAAAACATAACTTTGAGTGATATCCAAATAATAACAGCTTATTTTAAACATCTGACTACGCCACTGGATTCCACGTGAAAAACTGTATGAGTGACAGTTTTTCCTATATGTTGAAAGATAGCTGAGATACAGGGGGGTCCCAAAATGTAACATTCTCGATTTCGCCCTGTATCTCAAAAACGAAGTGAGCTATGAATATTTTGTTCGCGGTATCGTTAGTTTCACAAAAAAGTAGCCAACGTTCGCGAAAACTGCAAATCTCTATCTCTGAAAATAAGTGAGATATCTCGTAAGGACATCGAAAATGGGACAGCTTGTACATCTCCAAATCTTCGTGTAACATTCAAATGTCAGAAATCAATGGGTTGCGTGCAAGAACTGTCAGATGACCGACGCTGGAGGCACAACATTGAAACACAACCTCACTTTTCTTATTTGTTTACAAGTGATCGAAATAGTTTTTCACAATTATTTTGGCATACGAATCGTATTTTTTCGCTATTCATCAATTCGCTTATGCCATCATATTATGCTGTTGTGAAATGCACAAAAACTGCAGCGGAAGACGAAGTATTCCGGTTGGTATATCATGATTTAAAAGTAAGTACCTACTATATAGTCACTCATCATATAGTTTTCATTTTTGAAATTTGGTAATTTCTCTGATTTCTCATCGGAATTCCTTCTGCGATAGGAGCTAATAGAAATACACCTGAGATTTCTAAAATAATGCAAGAAGATTGGATTCATGCAATCAATCGCGAGGACTGGTCTGACATGCTGACGATCGTGTGTGTTGTAGACATTTTCAATCTATTAGCAGTATTAGCTCGTATTGCAGAAGTGGCAGAAGGCAAAAGGAATTTTAATAAGGAATGACAACATTTCATAATGATAACTATGTGAGATTACACTATTTACCTGAAAAATCATATTCCTTAGTCTCTTGCTGCATTTTTTGTGCATTGTACAACAGCACAATGCAAAGGCATGCTTGAATTAATTAATAGCGCAAAAAACACGATTCGTATGCCAAAATGTCATGTCATCTCCACAATTCAAATTGTGGAGATGACTTTGTTTTTGTCCCTGGAAACTAACCACTCCACTTTGAGATATCATGGATTTCCCCCAGAGATTAACAATTTTGCTCCCATCCCAAAATTCGTATATTTATTCTCCGTCAATTCATTTTTTGATATTTTCGTTAGGCACATGCCTGGACTTGCTCCGATGAACATGTTTCAACCAGATCTTCACCAAGAGCATCACGAAAGCAATCATCAAGGATAACTTGCCACATTTGTGATAAAGTTGTACCTCTGGGTACCCACTACGAAGTACACGTCAGGGATTGTATCAGTAAGAAACAGGAACAAGAATCACAATATCATTGATAAGTATCGTATTTCTATTCAACTGTATCATTTGAATTTTTCGAGAAAGCGTCGTATTCTATTCAACTGTTTTATTTGAATTTTTCGAGAAAGTGCTAAGCAACATGATATGTTCTAATTCATCACAAAGATAATAAGGTAAAAGTTCTTGTAATGAGAGTGGTGCATATACAGGGTGTTCCTCAAAGATATGCTAATATTCAAGGGGCCGATTCTTCGACCCATTTCAAAAATAAAACTTCATATGAACATAATATGTCGTAAACGTCCTAACTTCTGAGATACAGGGTGTCAATGTTGAAAATATGCATAGATTATTTTTTTGTCCACCCTGTATAGCTTTTTGTGATGCCAAAATCCAGTCTGCTATGTGACTGAATTGGTATACAAATTTCGAAATGTTACAAACGGTGGTTATCCAGTAATGGATTTCCTGAATGGAGTACTCAAACATCAAAATTTGAAGTCTGGTCTCGTTTTTTCTCAAAAACGAAGCGTTCTATCGAGTATCAACAAGAGGATCTTTTTTGTACATAATTAAATAGCCTTTTATAGCTCTGTATGAAATTTGAACATTTTTCGTCGTTGCTCATTTTCAAGTAAAATATAAACGATAATTTTTCCGTAACGGTGCCACTGGTAGAGGAAATTGTAATATTTTTGTACATCAGAAAATGTAACTTGATGCACAAAAAACGTGTACCAAATTTCAAAAAGATGTATACAGTATTGTCTTAGTTGTCATCGAAAAACTGAATATTTTTCAAAACTTCATCACCCTGTGTCTCAAAAGTTAAGACTTTTAGGACATAGGTTAATATGAAGTTTTCTTCTTAAAATGAGTCAGAGAATCACCCCCTCAAATATTAGCATGTCTTTAAGGAACACCCTGTATATTATTTGAATTTTTCGAGAAAGTGCTAAGCAACATAATATGTTCTAATTCATCACAAAGATAATAAGGTAAAAGTTCTTGTAATGAGAGTGGTGCATATACATGAAGAGATATTGACAATATTTGAAAGTGGTAATCACATTCTAGTTTTCATTTAGTTCCGTTATTTTGTTATTGATGACCATTCGAAACTTAATTTTGTCCATATTGTCAGAAATGATTTTTTGTTTCATAACCAATATCAGTTATAAGAGTGGAACTTGCATATCTGAGTATGTCATGTATTCAATCCTCATTGAATGACTACTCCACCTGTTCTGTTAACTTCTTGAACCTTCATACATGATGATTCCATGAAGTTCTCTAAGTTTGTATAAGGGTATGCCAATATGCCTTATAGTCTTATCGAAATTTCGACCTATTCAGCGGACCATAGAGAGACTTGAAAATATGAACATTCCAAACTTGCCACATAATCGAATAGAGTTCACCAACTATACTGTTATTTTTCAATCTATCAACGCATTGCAAAGCAAGGGGTACTTGGAACTTCAAATCAATCACACTTAGGTACCAGTACTAAAATTCGTTTCACAGTAAAACTTCATGAATAAAATGGAACGCACAGTAGAAACAAGCCATGGCATTTCCCACCAGCTACTCTCAGATAACCTATGTGATTTCAACAATATTTCAATTAAAGAAACTTGTATTAGGTACTCATTCTGATTTCGCAGATAGGCAGTTGAGCGTAATTCTCTTTTTTCTCTGGCACTGATATATGAAGAAAAAATACATATTTGTTCTACTAATACTTAGTAGTATGTCTCATGAATGATACAAATAAACTGGAAACTTCTAAAACAGGGATTTCTCTTCTTAGAAATTGGTTGATTGTGATATTTACTTTGAATGGCCATAGTTTTCACAGAAACCGTATTTTTTCTTCACTTTTATGTTTGAAATTTACTTGCTGTTGCTATTCTTTTCAGTAAGTTCTATTTGAAGTTGAGAGTGTACATTAAATTTACCTGTATAAAAGTTAAGTTTTTTATTGCTGTTGTGTCTGAAATAATTGAAAATATAGCAATGTTAGTTGGTGTTAAATTTTTGAAATTGAAATAAAATACATTTCAACACAATATGAAAAGTGATACCTATCGGTTACATATATATTTTGTATACGTGAGAAATATAATTTATAGTACTGTTTTATCATATGATGTTTTTTCTTCATTATGATATCCTCTATTTCCAGACCCGTGATATAATACCAAACGAACATTTCACAGGAACAAAAATATACAAAGAAACACGAATCTAATCACACTATCCAGAAATGCTGCTATGGTTGCAAATTGTTAGAAATATCATAGGTTATTTTGAAATTTACATAAGGACTTGTTGTTTTTGCAGCATAATAATTCATTTATACTTGAGAAAGTGACAAGATATCTACAGATATCGACGTTACCAATTTGAACTTTTCCATATGTTGGGAAACAGATTATGTGTTAGGCAAATTTCAAAAGTTTTTATTATGTTACGGTGGATTTCGTAGCTCAACTAAAATTGTTCTAAAATTGTTATTGATTGATTACATTCCAAGGCAGTAGGTCCCCACCAGGAGCTGTATTTTTTTGTACAGCTAGTATCTCGAAATATATTTCTTCGTTCATTTCCTCTCCTTCATTATTTCGGGGGTTAGTGAAATACTCGTTATACCAGATATTTATCTCATTCATTTTCTGTTAATTGAAATCAGGATCATTAGTTTCTTGATAATGTGTTTCGAAACTATCCGCAAATGAATTTGCCTTGTCCTCGTCTGCATAGTATTCTGTTCCATTGTCTTCCATTGTAGGAATATTGTTTTTCGGCTTATACTTCGAGAGTTCTCTTACTTCGTTGTAAAAATATTTGCCTTGTGCATTATTAATTTCTTGCCAAGAGTGCTCTTTGTAGAGATTTATCATTACTACTTCCTCTAATGTTTTGATTAACTATGTTGCCATCGTGACGTAATATATCCCAATTTCTGTAATTGCATTCTGCTTCCGGTTTTGTGTTGCTTTCAACGAATAATGCACAGTTTATATCGTGCCGTTCGATTGTGTTGTTTATTAAATACTTTTTTGGGCTATAGCTGTTCACATTAGTGTATAAGATGTAAAGTTTGTGCGCGAACTTGAACATTATTTTTTCCTGGAATAATTTCTGTTGCTGAGTCATAATCATCGACATCCATGTCAAACATCAAAATGTAAATCCAATTGTTGCCCACAAAGCTGATGGTCGTTTCGATTCTGTATTATGTAATGAATTGAGTTTCTCTAGGAGTTCTTCCCTATTGGTGTTCTTAGGCTTGTTCAACTTGTTGATATACGTATTAACGATGATATCATGAATGTTGACCGGAGAGTGGACTCGTCCGACTTCCAGTTGAGAGTCTTCACTGGTAGATTTGGTATACCCTCGATTGGTTTGGTGGGCCTGTTAGGACATTTGAAGGACCATGCCACAACTGATGCATTTGGCAGTAAAGGAGGTTTTGCATTTACTGGTGTGATGGATTTCACCACATTCTTGGCATTTGGTAGGTGTGTCACATGGTTTTGGGTGTAAAGCTCAAGCATGGTAGAGGCGCTGGTGATGGAGGCGAGCTGGAATGAATTTAATAGTGTCTACATTTGTAGTATAATCCCTCACTCAGTAATTTCTCGTATGACTTGATGCTTTCTGTAATAATCCGAATGAGGAAAGTCGGTTGGTCATTCGATCTAGCAATAATTCGTGTGCAGTATTGGAATTGCTTGTTTTTGTTTTTCTGCGGATGACTGACCTCTCCTGTTGTTATTTTTTGGAGCGACTAAAGTAAATCCATCGTTATCTGTGCTTTGGCTACTTTTCTGTGGTACATCATTATCGGGGATATTATTGTTGCTGTTTTTATCTACTGCAGGTTTCTTGCTTGTTGGAATTTCTATGATTGCTGGACTTGATGGTTTTCGTTTATTTGGGTTATTATCAGATATATCAGTTGTATCCATGTGATTGTCTAAATTCTCAAATCCTGGGAAATCGTCCATTTCATCCGAACTACCGGGACTTTTTCCACTCATTAAAAATGCTCAATAAATTACAAGTTGACACGTGAGACGGAACTCGAATAATACGTCTGTTCTCTTTGAGAGCTAGAACAGTACTGTGTGACACATTACCTACAAAACTCATACATTTTGGTGCCCTGAATATTAGGTTCTCCATTTTCTATCGATGAGTATAATTGTATTTGATTCACACCTGACACCATGTAAAGAATGTAATTAATGTAAGCAATTGGTGATGCCGAACATTCATTTTATAAGTATGAGAATGGTCTCGTATGTCGTGACATGGCCCGTCATATTTGGTTGTAATAAGTTGGTAATAGAATAAAACAGTGGAATCAAGCGAGCTCTCTCTCCGATCGCAACTTCGAAACTAGCAAGACACATTTTTGATTGAGAATCAGTTTTTTAGAAGACAGGAGCAAATATGACAAGGCTCCATCCACAAAAAAAATTTTTTTCGATATTAAGTCAAAATAAGGTGAAAAAATAAATATTTCAGATCAAACAAATTACGGTGTCTTTAGGACATAAAAAAGTAAGTTTTCACCAAATTTCGTGAAAAACAATTTTTTTGCACAAGAAAAAAAACCAAAAACTTGATTATTTGAATTTTTCACATAAATTTTGAGGTTATGTGAAAAAGTGTGATTACAAAAGTCTCTTCATTACCTACAACTTTGTCATTTAATATTTCTCCATAGGAATTGTGGTTTTGCCGTAAATCGAGATACACCGTTTTTACCCTTAAAACTCACCCCCTTCCACTTCACGACTTCAGATCGCCCGTAAATTGTTTTTCCTTTCATTTTTGTTATATTCTCGTCCTTTCTCAACGGGTTTCATCCTACTATAATATTTTTTTGGTTTCGAAAATTATCGACCCTGGTCTACTATGGCAGAATGCGTTTACAAAAATAACTGATAAGACATTTAAGAAGGAAAGTATTTTCTCGATTGGGTAGACGACTGCGGGAGACAGGACGGTGCATCCTATTCCACCACCCATAAGGAATCGGAACATAAGGAATGAAAATAATATAATTAATGTTGTTGCCTATGTTCAGGTGAGTCCCCAGTCAAGTACAAGGACAATAATTGCCTCTGAGGAATAAGCTAAACGTCCGTACATAGAATTTTGAAGGTCCATAACCTTCATCCATATCATGTCAAATTACATTATCAGGCCCTATCGGAATTTTATTATGAACATAGACTGAATCACTGCTATTTGCTGAGAACTATGATTGGTGAAAAACAGAATTTTTTGTCGCGCATATTATGGACTGATGAAGCTACCGGAGGTGTCAATTTGCACAACATGCATTACTGGTCCGCTGATAATCCCCACTGGATGCGTGAATTTGGCTATCAAAATCAATGGAGTGTTAATGTGTGGTGCGGCATTTTCGATGGTCGGGTTATTGGCCCATTTTGTATCAATGAACATTTGAATGGAAATATTTACTTGTACTTTTTAAGGAACCCATTGCCTCTTCTACTCAAAGAGGTACCATTGATAATGAGAAGGGACATGTGGTTTCAGTATCGCTAACAACAGGGATGTCCTAGGTACGTCCCTTTTTTGTCCCGCGGTACAAGGACATGATTGGGGCATCCCGGGGATGCCCCGCAGTGGTTGTTCAGTGGACATCCCGCCCGGTATATCTTTAGGTTATCCTATTCGTGTCCCTGGAATATCTGTTATCCATTCACATCAGAGTCATTGAATTTCATCAAAATATTGAGTTGAATTTTTTTGAAAATATTTGTATTTCTTCCGGAAAATAATTGTAATGGAAATTAAGAATATAGTCTCAGAACTTCTTAAGGAATCACTATTTTTCGCAAACAGAAATCGTAAATGCATAATGCCCCTCATTTTTAAACACCTAAGAATGATAATAATTATACCCAAATCCCAACAAAGTTGTATTTATTCCGGTTTCTGTAGTTTAGTCCTGTTTATTAATCTGTTTAGTACATAAATCCTCAAAAGGCATATCAGCCAATGGAGTAAGGTGCGTGCCTGATAAGCTTAAGGTCCCGGGTTCAATCCCTACTCGACCTACATTTTTTTTCTTTTGTCGAAGGGATGTCTCTGCAATATCCTTGGGACGTCCTAGGGATATCCTTTCTTTGTACTTGGCACATTCCAGGGACGTACCAGAAGGATATCCATTGGATGCCTTCTTTGTCGGCAAGCGGATGTTCCTGGGACGTTTCTAGTATGTACTTTGTCCCGACAAAGGATATCCCTGGGATGTCCCAGTATAAAATTAGGGACGTCTCCCTGGGAAGTCTCTAGAATGTACTTGTGTTGTTAGGGATGATGGGTGTCCTGCACACTTTTCTCGGGTCGTTCGTGACTTTTTGAACCAAAGATACCCGGACCGCTGGATCGGGTATCCATGACCCCCTAGATCCCCGGATCTCACTGTGCTTGATTTTTATTTATAGAGCAAGCTAAAAGACATGTTTCTCAAACTCGTCCTACTACTACAGAAAACATGATGCAACGAATTCAAGATGCTTTTATCAGCATTTCAAGAGATGAAATAGAAATAGCTGTAACAAGCACGGATTGAGTATTTGTTGATAGATATCATTTTGTTCGCTTGAACATCATGATTTGAGTGAACACATTTTATGTGTTCATTCAAAAGATGTCGTTTTTGTCGAATTTCAGGAATAAAAGTTTACTTCCGTCGTTGCACTTCAGTTGTTCATATATATACTCTCTACATTTTTGTTTTTAATGTATATAGTTTGGTGACATTTAGAATTGAACCAATACACAAATGGAACAAGACGTTGTCGTAGGCTTCGACGATAGAATAAGACATTTTAAAATGAATTTCAAATTCACAACTGTCAAACTACCCCAATATGAGGGTTGCCTAGCAACTGGAATGGTTGACGTTCAACTATTTCCACAGATATCACGATGGAAATGAATAAATAGTTGATTTGTTTAAAATTAACATAATTTCTCAATGGAAAATTAGTTATTCGCCAATAACTCGAAGACAGATATATAGAGACATCAAATCGTGGTTTGCGCCAAAATGTAGGCGATTTCATGCTCTTCGAGACTACTGATGCAAACATGTATCATTCCATTTGATTTTTTCGAGAAAAACCGGAAAAATCTAATAGTCGGTAAACAACGCCCTCTATGAGACGCGGTATGAACTAGCGACCGTAAACGAAGTCACTTTTTGAATATGTGTGAAATTATCTTCCAAACGAGCCCAAGTTGATTGCATTTGGATATTTCGTTCTCAAGCTTCCCCCACCATCAATTCATTCAAGATACGAAAAAAAGTCTTGGAAACAACACAACAATAAAGTGATGATATTTCCATTTCCCTTAACAAAAAAATCACCTTATTCAGTGATTTTCTGAGATAATTCGAATTTCTCGTTGTATCATAGTGATCTGGCCTCCTACCAGTCATTTCAAAATTTTGAAAATAATTGGAATCAATTTCTTATCGCCGATTTTATCAATAGATTTTTTTTCCCGAAGCTGTGAGGTTGATGGTTTTCAAAATATCGTATCTGGCCGACCTTAGTGGCACACCCTGTATACACTGATTGATGTTCGTCATTCACTTTGATACCTCCTTATTGACTAGGTACTTCGAAAATAGAATATGATTGACGGATAGATGGGAGAAACAAATATAAATATCTGAAATAAAATCAGTCAGTTATCAATGGTTTCCAATTCGGGTAAATAATTAGCCAAATTACATGAATTTGGGATCACAATCTCATTTATCATCAATGGCAAATGTCAATTATCGATCATATCATTTTATTTTATGAAAATGAGAGGTATAATGATTTAAATAATTCAAAGATATTGATGATTGAGATACTCAGATAATAAGATAAGAATTTTTCAAGTAGGCTTCTATCTATATAGAGCACTCTGGTAATTCACTTTATTCATTTCATGTATGACCTCAACTGCATAATGATCAATTTAGGTATAATATTATTCCTCACATTTTCTTTGAATAATTGTGATAGTTTAAATGTGCAAAGTTTGGATGGTGATTGGTTACTGAAAGCAGCAAATGGAAGTGAGTATTTTAATCCAACTGTAAATTACTATCAATATCTTCATTTTTATATTACGGGTGCTCAACATTTGATCCGATTTTGGACTTCAAAAACTCTACCTGTTACATTTATTTCATGTATTATTGATTCGAGGAATAGAAGTTAATACTTGGTATAATAAAATACCTTTATTTTTCAACAGAGACCGAGATGTTGACGGTTCATGAACATCCAATTATAATAAGTTCAAAGTTCCTATTGAAATAGATCGCTATTGAAACATACATTTCGAAATCCCAGGATTTTTGATGGCTCATAAATCGAAGTTTCATTTAGAACTCATATAATATGCATCTCCATACTTTTGATTATATTCCGATTCTCAATATTACCTCGAAAAAATTAGAGTCCCTGTACATAACTTAGACAAGAGTCCGGACACAGCTATACTTCTGTCCTTTTCTGTTTTCAAAAAATGCATTGATGATTGAATAAAGGAATAAGACATATATATCGAGCTCTGTCTTCTCAATTCCCCTAGTATCAATGATTGTCAGAAACCCTTTTGAGGGTTAGATTATTTGTCAAACCATTCATAGCCGTAGGTAGAAGTGAGAAATAGGGCTATTTTAACTAGAATAACTATTAGATTTTCGAATAATGAACAACAGGGTGTTCAAATTTCGAATCGATAATTTTCATAATCAATTCCTGAGATGGCTATTGCAAATTTTTGTCATCAGATATTTCTTCACTTCATTAGATATAAGAAAGATAATTCAAGTGTTCTACGTGGTATCACATATAGCCAAGAAAATATAGTTGTTTTCTGTTGGGATATAAAAAAATAGAAGATATATAATTGTTTCAATATAATTTTCTCCGATTCTCCCAATTTAATAACACTCATCAGAAATAAAAGTGACAAAATCAAAACAACAATATATTTGATAGCGAGTGCTTTATTAATTGTGTTTCCCACCTCTTCCTGCAGTCTACATTCACCTGTACATTTTGAATTTGATCTGAATTAATAACACCGCCGTGGACTGATGATATAGCACATTGCAGTTTCCCTAAATCTTCTAGTTTTGATTTCAAACTTTCAATTTCTTTCCGCATCATCTCATTCTCATTTTCTTTTTCTGCGAACGTATCATTCAGTAATTCCCAATACGATGACGACGGGACTCTTTTTTTGAACGTCTCTATTTCATAAATTGACGGCACAGCAGACTCTTTCAATTTGAAATCCATCAGCTTGAAAAAATCTCTATCAAAATGGGCCTAAAATTCATCCTTTTTGTACTGTTTTCACAAGTAAATCTGAATATTTACCTCACATATTGCGGATTTCTTGAAATTAATTTTCCATTCTGGACGTTTCATTGCATTCTTCCATGACATTGTCTTTGAAGGATCATTCGGAGAATTGAATAACTTGAATCCCTTTTCTAATGAATTATCGCAATAATGTACGCAGCAGGACATTGAAATAATTTAAAATGCTAAATTTTGGCGGTCATAAAATTTCAAAGTGACAGTGACAGACATTCGGAATAATTAAAAGAAGCGGGCGGGACGACTATGGTGTTTCGTCACATTGTCAGGTGGGCAAACCAAATGAAACAAAATATTAAAAACCCCAACGGCTGTCAGTTTTGTGTCCGGACTCTTGTCTAAGGTATATACAGGGACTCTAGAAAAAATTATTCCGAAATTCCTGATAACGTATTGACCGTTGGCCCATAAAACGAGGGGTGTCGATTATCGACGAAGGTATGCCCTTCAATTAAGGGACATTTATGTAGATTGAGTTTTGGATTATCGGGAAAAGTGGTACAAATACAAAAAGCTCAAAGTCATATCCACAAAGTGTTCATAAAATGAACAACAATGGTAGATTTCTGGAGAAAAGCAACTACTTTCCTGGCTAATGCCACGCAGAACATTGAATTACATCCTCCCAAAATCTATGCAGGAATCACCTCATGAATATTCTACCAATTATCAGAAAACACACTGTATATGCGAAAAAAACAAATTATATTGTATTAGTATTATAGTATGGCCACTATATCCATTTGTTTGGTGAATTGAGCAGAAATTTCTTAGAAACATCACCGTTCACCTGGTCCCAGGTGGGGGTCATGACTCCCATGACTACCTCTGCATCCGCCCTTGATATATTTCTGTTCAAGACAATTATTGGTCACTGTACAGGGTGATTCATCATAAATGTCCCCCCCTCTAGCTCAGTTATTTTTGAACCGATTGCAAAATTCTAAATATCATCTAAAATGATTTCCGCTAGAGTTTTTTTCCGCTACATCAGAAAATACAAGGTGCTCGGAACAAACGATCTACAGGGTACTATTTGATTTTTTTAAATGGAACACCCTATTTTTCATTGTATTTTTAGATTCTCCCTGAAAAGCTGATTTCATCAATGTATCACACTTGGGGTCTAGCGAAAATAATTACAGAGATATAGGGTGTTCAAAATCGAGATTTTTCAACTTTAGGATTTTTCTGTGACAAAACTATTCACTATCGGTCGAAACGGCTTTCATGTCCGTATCTTGACTTTTGATTTACTATCTACTGACATTTAATAATTGGAACAGATACAGGGTGATCAGAATTCTGAATCTTGAAGCACACTGTATATGTTCCAATTAAATGTCAGTAGATAGTAAATCAAGAGTTGAGATAGGGACATTGAAGCCGTTTTGACCAATAATGAATAGTTTCGACTCAAAAAAATACTCAAGTTGAAAAATCTCGATTTTGAACACCCTTTATCTCTGTAATCATTCACGATAGACCCCAAGTGTGATATATTAATGAAATCAGCTCTTCAGGGAGTATCTAAAAATACAATGAAATACAGGGTGTTCCATTTGAAAAAATCGAGTGGAACTCTGTAGATCGTTTGTTCCGAGCACCCTGTATTTTCTGATGCAACGGGAAAAAAATTTGCGGAAAATCATTTAAGATGATTCTTCAAATTTTCAAATCGGTTCAAAAACAAGTGAGCTAGAGGGGGGGACATTTATGGTGAATCACCCTGTACTAAGCTCAAAACAATTCAGTGCTCTACATGATAATATTGTCTATGGCATACCCGTTCATTTACACTATATTATGTACCTACAAGATTATCTACGATAAGCTTCCAAATTTTGATCAAGGCTAGTTAAGCACAAATTATGCGTGAAATAATATAAAAAAAAGTTGACCGCAAGAAATATCGCCTTTTTTATCTTTTCCTTGTATATCTCTCCAACTTGAGTATATACTTACACAAACGTTGTCCCAATTCACCCTTTTCGAGTTATTCAAGGTTGAAGTTTCCAAAAATCAGGTTTTGGTTCAAAAAACACTAAAAAACTAATTATTCAAAATAGTTAGTTTTGTATCTAGAGCGCGAAATGCTACTTTGGTGATCGAGATCTGATTTTTTTAACGAGGCGTAGCCGAGTTAAAAAAATAGTCGAGATGAGCAAAGTATTTCGCGCTCGAGTTGCAAACAACATTTTTCCTACCAACGTCAAAAAATATAGTTCTAAAGTGAAAATATGCTTAGCTTGATATAAAAAATAATGTTGAACTGGCCTAAAAGGTCTCCCCCTATCCTCCCTAGGTACGCACGATGTTCCACGAACATAATAGGAATTTCCTTTCGTGCGCTCCAAGAGAAAAAACAAAGTTATTAATGAACATTCAGAAATAAATGATTTTGTGGATGTCTGCTCGATTGAGGACCATAAAGTTGAAATATAAATATCTCATATATATTACATAACAGTGCGCGAAGTACCTACTTCGCGCACTGTTTTACTTCGCGCATTGTTTTGTGCAAGAAATCATGGTAACGTAGGAAACTGAAAAAAAGTGTCACTTCGCAATTTGTTATCAATGCGCGAACCTTGTCATTTTTTGAATATATTTTCATTTTTTGAAAATATATTTTTTCTACAAACGTCAAAAAATGACAAGGTTCGCGTATTGATAACAAATTGCGGAGTGACACTTTTTTTCAGTTTCCTACGTTACCATGATACCTTGCACAAAACAATGCGCGAAGTGCCTACTTCGCGCATTGTTATGAAAAATATATGAGATATTTATGTTTCACCTTTATGGTCCTCAATCGAGCAAACATAGACGAAATCATGCATTTCTGAATGTTCAACAATAACTTTGTTTTATCTCTTGGAGCGTACAAAAGGAAATTCCTATTATGTTCGTGGACCATCGTGCGTACCTAGGGAGGATAAGGGGAGGCTTTTTAAGCCAGTTCAACACTATTTTTTTATCAAGCTAAGCATATTTTTACTTTAGAACTATATTTTTTGACGTTTGTAGAAAAAATTTTGTTTGCAACTCGAGCGCGAAATACTTTGGTCATCTCGACTATTTTTCTCAAAACTTGAATTTTTTGTTTTCGAATTTTGATCTTGAATAACTTAAACTCGAAGAGAGTTAATCAAGACATTTGTGTATAATAATTGGGGTTAGAGATACTTTCATTGTCTCTATTTTGCGCAATAAGGGAAAAACCGAAAATTATTCTAAAAATTGTTCTAAAATTGTTCTTATCCATCATTCGGTTGCCTCCCTACGAGCAACCCTCAGAAGTCTTCAAGAAGCGATATCTTTGGCGGCCATGTTTTGGTTTCGTGATTCTTGAAAATATCCTCTCAGTCTCAACATGCTGCAAGGAAGTTTTAAATCAATTCGCAATTACAGTTAGTTATAACTACTAAATAATACTCGAAATCATCTCCGGACATATATATGTCCATCCTCAGCCTAATAAAATTACTACATCTCTCTCCTAGAAAGAGAGTGAATAAGTACACAACATTTTTAAAATTTGATTTAAGGAATGATTCCATGGGAATGAAAAAATTTGGTTGAATCTCAATATTGATAATGTAGGAATAGGGGATCATTTTTGTTACAAGGGGAAACCTAACAAACCCAAAATGTAAACACTTATGGTGGAAACCACACAAGGGAACACCACGGGGTGCACATCGGCGAAATAAAACGATGGAAAAACGTCCACCTTGAGGTAGTCGACGGAATAAGTCACCTGACCAAGCCAAAAAGAACAAAGTTAAGACGTTTAGGTCATGGGTTTATATGAAATTAGGAAACGCCTTGTATATCAACGTGCTATTTCCTGTTCATTTTATATAATGTGCTTTTTTTCTGTGACGGGAAAAATGTTTGGAATTTCATCTCAGTTGACAGGTTAAAAAAAGTCACTTTTCATAAATTACTTTTTTCCCGGATATACAGGGTGGCCCACGAGGTTTTGGCCAGTCGATATCTCGAAAACTATTTGAACTACAATTTTGAATTTTTGTGGTTTTGAACAATGGAATGCGGTGACCATTTTTGGTATAAGAGGTTTTTATTGCAACATCGCATTTCCAATCACGTGATATCAACTTCAATATTTTAAATGGAACACCCTGTATATTATTGCATTTTTGTGAAGACCTTTCTAATGCAAATACCACGATACCATCATTGTCACAACAGTATAATTAGGAAACGAAACAAAATAAGTAGAAAAAGGATTACAGTTGATGCTCAAATTGATGTCCATCTTTAGTAACGCAATGCCCAAATCTTGTTAAAAGATTTCTAGTGCATGCTGCTCTAATCATTTCAGGTGTAACAGTTTGGCACGCTGCTCCGATTTTGTTTTGCAAATCATCTAAATTTGTAGGCTGTGTAGAATGAACCAATTATGGTATCATAGAATTTGTATTAGAAAGGACTTCACGAAAATGCAATAATATACAAGGTGTTCCATTTGAAATTTTGAAGTTGATGTCACGTGATCGGAAATGCGATGCTGCAATAAAACCCTCTTATATCAAAAATGAACACCACATTCCACTGTTTGAAACCACCAAATTTCAAAATTATGGTTCAAATAGTTTCCGAGATATCGACTGACCAAAACCTCGTGGGCCACCCTGTATATTTTTTTTATATTCGGGTTCCCACGAAAAGGGATATTTATCCTGTTGATGGCTTTTGTTATGCTATAGTTTCGAAAAATAAACCAATAGGTAACACAAAAGTCGATAATTTTCTGATTTTAATTCAATGTAACATCTTCTCAATATATTGATTCGTCGTGTTTCCTGTCACAGAAAAAAATAGTGTATTATTCACGGAAAAAATATTTGATTTTAGCTACGCGTCGGGAGACAACACAACCTGGAGCTAAAACCTACTACTTTTTCACTTGTATAATAAATAACTATATTTTTTTCTGTCAATTTTAATTTTTATTCAAACTTACCTAAGCTCCTTAAAACATATTTCCATTTGCTTATTGTGTAAGGTAAGCACACAACCTCTAGTTTCATTTATTTCTGTATCAGCTATAATTAAACTATACGATTTTCTACGGCTATAACACAAACTGCTCTTGTTTTACTGTGTTCGATAAACCAATGAGGTACTTTGAAATATGCCATTGAGTCAAGATTACTGAATCCTGGATCTCCAAAAAGTTCTTCAAGGATTCCGATCATTTAAACACGAATTAATGTTCAGATCATAACAAACAATCAAAAAAGTACCGATACAAATCGAAAACAAAAATTCATGTTTACTTTACGATGACACTGAAGACTTCAACTCAATTTATGGATAATCCGTAAACGATATTTTCCGTACGTTAACGTCTACGTGGAGGTCTACGTGTACATAGTGTACAATGTGTACGTACTATATCCTTTATTTGCATCCATCAATTAAATTACACCCTGTAGAACAATCAATGCTGTAACGTGACCTATATACGGCTTAATTAAAACACAGTATATTGTCCTTGTGGTCAAAATGAAGGGTTTAACCAAAGGGCTAGCGCCCGGTTAATTCAGGGGTTCGAATACATTGTAAAGCTTCTCTTTTGATAAAATTTTCAACATTACTTTCAACGGGAGGATTATTGATTAGGGTCTCTGTTAGGGTGATGGGCGACCGGGTACCGCTACAATTAACAAGTAACAATAAGCCACTTTTTTCTCGATAATCCAACTCAATCTTCATGGGCATACCTTCGTAGATAATCGACACCCCTAGTTTTATAGGCCAATCTGGTGGCTTTCCCCGATTAGAAGTTATGGCAAAAAAATATTTCAATGTACTAATTTTTCAAAGTATCATCACCCCCAGAAAACACGGTATCTACACACTTTTGACTTAATCAGTAAAAACTTTCATGTTTGAGTAGGTAATTTTAAGAAATATATATGGACTCGAAAGATTTGCATCATTGTTATCATGATAAAAAACTGATAGTGAGCAAATAAACACTTTTTATCGGTAGGTACCTACTTATAACTCAAGTTTAATAACACTTCACCTATTGATTTGATTATAGTTTGAATATTCAATAGAGGTGCTTTTTAATGTATTTCCAGAATATGTGGACCTCAAAGCTACTGTACCTGGCGGTATTTACACAGACTTGATGAACAACAATATCATTGGTGATATTTTATATGGATATAATGATAGAGAAACTAAATGGGTTCCTAGGCTCAACTGGACATATTACAGAACGTTTTCTGGTAAAATCTTGAAAATCCGGAAATCCAAATTCGATGAAAAACCTACGTATGATATTTTTTAGTTGATGAAGACATTTTGAACCAGGAGAACATTCATCTGGTATTTGATGGCTTAGACACATTTTCTAGTATCTATGTAAATGACGAATATGTAGGAGAAAGTGAAAATATGTTTTTACAATACATATTTGATGTAAAAAAGCAAATCAAGGTAAAATAACTTCAGCCAATTTTCATTTCAGACAGGCAGGAAAGACGTCAATATTATTGCTTTGTTTTAGTTGGGTGAAAATAAAATAGAAGTCCGATTTCTCTCCCCGATAGAAGTGGCATCTCAACGTGCAGAAGAACAAAATAAACTTTATGATATTCCTTTAGATTGCCCTCCAGATGCATATCGAGGAGAATGCCATGCCAATATGATTCGAAAAATGCAAGCCTCATTTTCTTGGGATTGGGGACCAGCATTCCCATCTGTTGGAATATGGTGAATCTCTGGAAAGATACTTAATGATTCTAATCCATATTGAATTTTGTTTTTCATAGGAAAAATATATATATCGAGAGCTATGACGAATCTGCTATCAGATATGTTGTAGCAGATGTAACTGATTCTCCATCTGATGATAGTTGGGACTTGAATATCGATACTTACTTGGCAAACAATAATAAGAACGAAGTGAATGGTATTCTAATGTATAACTTACAGATGAATAACTGGAATCTGACACAGGTTTTTAACGTCACTGAACAACCTAACAGCTATGGCGAAATTGTTTCTACCATAAGTTTTAAAGTAGCAAAGGTAAGTTGTATCATCACTATAGAACTAGAACTGATGAAGTGATTATAAGATGATGCATGTACCCATCCAGCCGTTTACGCGTACGATAGTACGAAAATGTCTTGATTTCGTCTATTGATTTATTCATCTAGTGGTTTTTCCCTAGCTAAATAGGGGATAGGGTTCATAGGTTTATAAAATTAATTAAATCATTCTTGTGTTCAAAAAGATCCCATTAGGAACTAGTTGCTGACGTGCAATCGTTCCCACTTCCACCAGTACCCTTACCAGTGTGTGAACCAGAGTATAATCAATGAGGTCTTTGGTATAATCTTAGGTGAGGTAATAGTATATTACACACCGACTCACCGAGGTGGAAAGAGATTCATTCCTGTCGTGAGATTACTCAGTTAACTGAGAGGCGAAGCGTCGAGGTTTGCTATGATCTCGAGACAGGAATGAAACTTCCTACCGAGGATTGTTTACTATTTTATTTACAACCATCATATTTCGATCAAAAGTATATTACACACCGAGGTGGGAAGAGATGCATTCATGTTGTGATATCATTTAGTTAACCGAGACGCAATAAAGCGTCCCAGCGAGCACAAAAACATCTCAGAGATGTTAAAAGTACGAGATGTTCTGTTCACACATGAATAGAACTATTATAGAACAGCCAATGTCCGCCGCAGGCGGCAATTATCGAGATGTCCTTGATATGTCACAAAACTACCTTCTCCCTAGTTCATTTTAAAGCCTTTTCATGAACACAACAGAACATTTTTAACGCGTCTTGCGCACATTAAATCGGTGTAAAAAAAAACATTTTCGAGGTACTTTTCTGAAGCCTTTTGTCATAATGAACTTTTGCATTAGGATTCCATTTCCCTTGAATGAAAAAATGCATTGAAAATTGATTGAACATAAAAATATTTTCTTGATATGAAATTACCTTCTTAATCGGTTTCTGAGTAGTGCTTACTACACACAGACATATAATTGGAAATAGGTTTCCCGATTTTTGAAATGTTCTCCACAATGCATAATTTTGCAACTGCGGAGAAGCTGTGTATTGATGAATTCGTACTTTTATAAATCGATTACACTGAGGCACCGAACAACACATCTTGCATCTGATGGTCATCATTACAGACTAAATAAGTCTTCTAACACAATAAATTTCACCAAATTCCTTTCTGTTCGTTAGCAGCGTGATGTAAGCGTGACACGCTGCAAACGCGAATGCCAATCGCGAACAAGAAGAACAAAATCGAAAACAAATCAGAATTCATCGTATTGTGACGTAAGCATGAGACGTTGTGGTGGGGCAAACAAAGAAAGGGCACAAAAGAACAAAAACAATACTTTCAATATCCTTCTAAGACCTCTTTGGGAAGTGCATATTACGCCTCAAAAAAACATCCTCATGGCCACATTTCTAAAACATCCCAAAACATCCCAGGGATACCTCTCAGTAGGCAAACAAAGAAATGCCACAGAAGAACAAAAACAATACTTCAATATCCTTCAAAGACCTCTTTGGTCAGTGCATATTACGTCTCAAAATAACATCTTATTCATGCCAACATTTTCAAAACATCCCAAAACATCCCAGGGATGTTTGTGCCCGTTGGGGTCGGGGTTAGCTATGATCTCGAGACAGGAATGAAAGTTCCTACCGAGGTTTTTATACTATTTTATTTACAACCATCATATTTCGATCAAAATTTATGAATCTCTGTTGCGTTCTGAACATACCTAAAATATTACATGAGTGAAGGCGGGAAGTATAGTGAGGGCGGGAAGTGAGGGCGGGAAGTGAGGGCGGGAAGTGAGGGCGGAGTGCACCTAAAATAATTACCGAACATGCACCAACTTTCGACTATATCTGTATTTTGGCTGTGCAATTCATTAAAAAGATTTTCATATGTTGCACATATAACCCAGGCAACCAGATGACGAATGATCACGTCACTGTGACGTCTCTAATTGGTGATTTTTCGTCAGAGACGTTACACACCAATTTATGACGTCACTATGACGTACTTTCAATGATGTGATAATCACGTCAGTTTCATGACGTTGCAGGGACGTCCAGTCGACGTCCATTTTTCCCAGACCTTCTCTAAGCCATGGATATTTATATATTATGTGAAACAGAAGTATAACTCATGAAAGCAATTCAACATGCAAGTTTTATTGAAATTATTAATATACCCGAAAAGTAGGAGAAAACATTTTTTTTAAACTTTGACACACTGTATATCTCGGTAACCTACAAGTGAGGCATATCTATGACGTCTAAAAATCACGTCGGTGTGATGTACTAATTTGGTAAGCTTCGTCATTCAGAAAATTTTTCAATAATTTGCTATTTAGATTTTTGTTGGGTGACAAAGAATGCATGAATATACATCATTCAACAATGTGAAGCCAAATTTGCCAACATCCTTTTCATTGCTATCAGACTATTCTTGGTTTGCTTACATCTCGCCGATACAAACTACATAATTTTTTATACAAATACGAGTAACTGATTGCATGGATGGAGATGCGTACTAAATGATAGCGCTGCTGAATAGGCGATTGAATGGACATGACACAGGAGGGGCCCACCAAGCAGACTCAACAATGCATAATCAATATTATATATGATGTCATCAGAGGCCAGTGGTGTTTATCACACCATATTAAAGGAATATTTTTTACGTATCATCACCAATTTTGACGTCATTATGACGTCAGTCGGACGTCACAGTTTCGTGAGTGAATGACGTCAATACGACGTGAGTAATATGACGTCATTGGGCTGTGACTTATTCACGTCATTTATCACGTCATGCGACGTCCACTACTGACGTCACCTTGGTCATTCAACTGATGTAAAAAAGACGTCACTGAAACGTCATCTGGTTGCCTGAGAAATGACCACTCTGTATATCGACCATGTAACGTTAATAACTATTATATAATATAGAGCCGTTATTGAGACTTGAGTGCCAGAAAAGTCGATAAACCGATAATTTCAATCATGAAAGTTCAAGTTGATTAGTGATTCTGAAACTGAACGCATGCACCATGCATCAGTATCGTTATAAACATCAAAACATTTGGAACATCATTTTCAGTCGAATGTCAACTATTGGTGGCCTAATGGTTTTGGCGGTCATGATCTTTATAACTTACGAGTTACGTTTGCTGATGGAGACTCCTCCGAATTTGATTCTAAGGTCATTCGCATTGGATTCCGCACTGTTGAAATTGTTCAAGAATCTATAGGTAAGTCCAATTCTTTTTTTAATAAAACTATTGTTTCGTAGAATATATGCTGGAAGATATTTTTACTATACTTTCAATTCCAAACAATCTTCTTTTGCCTCATTGTGTATCTGGGCGATTGCTTGTTACCATACATACTCGCACCGGTTTACACTTTCCAAGTTGTTTGGAGTTCAGGACCTTGGTCGCTATACTGGTTAGAGTGAATAGGAGTTGCCGAACTAAAACAGGATATGGCAAATGGAAAATGCTATAATAAATAAATCAGGTATCCATGTTTCGATGAGGGAGTTGTGGAACAGTGGGAAGCGCGCCAGGCTCTCATTCGTTTAGGGGTCAAACCTGATGATGGGCATTGCTAGATTGCCTCGAACATCTCATTTCACACTTGCCATATTCATTAAACAGCTGAACAAAAAGCGTGAGACACAATAGTATATTGTGCAACAAGTGGGGAAAGTTCTATTTTTCTCACGAATTTGTGGCCCGAGCCTGAAGGGCGAGTGATATGCAAACACACGAGTGAGAAAAGTACTTTTTCCCACATGTTGCACACTACACTTTTTCTACAACTGCACTTATCCAAAGAATCCAAGTAATGTTAACTTATTGGTATTCATTTTATAATGTGGCACTATGCCACATTGAATATTGTAACCAAAGAGTAGACGCCTTTCCTAGTTCCTCAAAGTATTTCAAAAAAGTACACTTTCCGAAAAAGATTCCATAAATCTTTCGTATATACCAATTCATACTTTTTTCTTGAAATTTCCGGAAACAAATTCAATTTTTGCAGCTTTTTCCATTATCTCTGCCAAAATCGTCACTTCTCGGTATATACATAATATTATTTATTATGAATTGTTGGAATAATATTTGATGGAAACTGCGATTTCTATCAAAAGCACTGATGAGAACTATCCTAAAGAATTTAAAAAACTTTTTCTGACAGTTGTGACAAGTATTCAAAGCTGAACACCAGCCAATTGAGTTTTGTCGATTTTCGTTGATTCTCCATGGAAATGTATGTGGTGTTGGCAAAGTGCCGTGAGAATAGTTATTTGTTTAACTAGGCAGCAAAGTAGTAGATTGACTGCCGAGTTGAACATTTTTTCTCCGATTGTTCATAATGATATATATTTCTTCATTTTTCCTGTAGTGTTCAATTAAAATAAAATTTTATATAAATCGCAGTTGTTGGAATGGTTGGTTCTATGGAAATGTCCATAATAATTATAGATTGACAATTCATGAAATTTCTGATAGTTGTGCGAAAAAATCCGTATATTTATATCATTATATAATGGACAGTGATAGCGACCTGGAAGTACTTACATCTCCAGAAATGAGGGAGGTGGCAAAAAATATAGAGTTGAATTTGTTACCGGAGAAGTATCGGATGAAATATGAAGGAAATTATAAACGATTTATGGATTATTAATTTTGCTGATACCTATCAATCAGCAAAGTAGCCACTTTGCTGCCTAGGCAGGAAAAGTAATACTTTGCTGATTGATATGTGTCAGCAAAATAAATATTTGCTGCCAATCGGAGAAAAAAATATTTCTCACAGTATGAGCAATACATGGTTTTGTAACTGAGTAAGCTATGAAAAATGCGCTAATTTTCATAGCAGTAGTAGAAAAATATGTTTTATAAGAAATGAAATGGCATATTTCTGTACACCTTTATTGAACGATTACAGACATGTTATTATTTGAAACCCTAATTGTGACGTAACACCAAAGGCACATGAGACTCATTATGTAGTTATATCAATATTGTATTGTCATAATAAATATAACACTTGACATGTATTCTCGTCTTTGGGTAACTCGAACATAAATTGTAACCATAATTCTTAGAATTTTCGCAATCCCTTACCGAACAATGAGACATATTCGAAAAAATTTTGACGGGGAACGCCTATCCAATTTTCAAAAGTGACGTTTAAAATCTGAGAATGATGACATTTCGAAAATGTAAGTGATGACAAGCGTGTCCAGACTCCTTAAAGGTCGTGTAATGAGATGTTATAATAATTTACTTCTGTTGTATTTGGTGTATATACCCGACTGGGCGCAGTCACATTTTAAAACAGAAAAAAAGGTCATTCATTTTTTTTATCGCTTGGAGCGCACGAAAGGGAATCCCTATAATGTTCAAAGAACATCGTGCGTTCCTAGGGAGGATAGGGATAGGAGGTAGGTATTGGAATTTTTTTTGAACTTCTACATAACGTGAATTTAGGGAGTAAACGATAGCTATATCCGCAACAACTTTACTCAACTGTGTTCGTCTAGGGAATGAGACGCATTAGCCAAAGCAATCTCTAAGCCGTTCCTGATGGACAGTGGTTTGGATCTGCATATTGACAATATTTCACTTGGAATGGAAAGGATCAGACATATTGTGCTATTTGTTGGTAGCAATTACTGTCGAACTGAGTGTCATATATCGATTGCATTGTCTTACGTCAACGTCAATTAAAATGAGTTTGAAATCGAAGAATCCAAGTAGTAGTTCTTGCTCTCATTCCCAATAATGACAAAAGGAACAGAGACTAATTGGGCCATTACTAGAAAATTACTTCGAAAAACCTATTTTCGAAAAAGTTTGAAACTACGTAACTTGAAGACTATATGCATTTCCGGAGCAATGTTCTTATGACCTTTTCGTTTTAGAATCACTCAAACACCACCCCTTGAAGTTTGGCCACATATTTGACTAAAACACCCTGTATATCTATAGATGGTTACGTAGCACAAAAAATGGGCAGTGCTATAACTTCTGAATCATTCCAAGTATATCAAATTTCCTTTTATAGACAAAAGCAACCCAAAAATCGTGTCCTGAAATTGTTTTCAACTATTTATCAATATTTCAACTACAACTGACGAAATGTGTGTGCAGAGTAGTTTCGGCTTCGCTAAACGCTCCGCCTCGCAAATTCAAAATTTGCTTGTCCATCGAAGTGTCACTTTTGATCCCAATAAAACAATCTATACTATTTTGATACTTCTCGATTGTTTTTCAACCCCTGTATTCATTCTAGATGCAAAATTAATGGAGACTTTTTTATAGGAAATCTTATGTTGTTCCATTTTGTACACTTTCATTTTTTGGCTAGAGGTCGCAATTTTTGAATTATTCAAGAATAACTTGAAAAACCGACGTTCATACTTTTAGTAGGTAATCATGTTGTTCATGGCACTTCCCTCTACCACTGTACCTACGAAAATTTGCGACTAAACGATTTATTTCCTTCGACCTTCTTTGGTGAGCGTTGATTGAACTAGGGTATGAATGAATATCATCGAATCATATAGTAGAGAAAACTGAAATATTTTCAACAAAAAATGAGAGTGAGAAACCAAACACCTTGTATGTAGAAAAAAGATTATCTCGAAAGTTGAAATTGGTTTGTGCTTCTTGTTTGGTATTTTGAAAAAAAAACTTTAAATAATAAAAATTGTTGCCTTCAACTGATGAAACAATTAGTACAATAATTATACAAGAGTATAAAGTTGTGAGAATGAGTTCATTTTGATGCACTTGTGTATTTTCGAGATATTTAGTAAAACTGTCTCTAAAGGAATAGGTATTTCTCATAAAAACAAATTCTGCAAATTTGATTATTGACATTTGGTTATCGATATGAATTATTGATATCAAATATTACTTTTATTACTTTTTCAGGTTCCGGTTTATCATTTTATTTCAAAATCAATGGCATTCCAATTTTCATGAAAGGTTCCAATGAAATACCAATTGACATTCTACCAGAAAGAGGTCAAAACAAAACCACTATAAAAAAGTTGCTAAAGACTGTCCAAAATTCTCACATGAACATGTTGAGAGTGTGGGGTGGCGGTGTTTACGAATCCGATTACTTTTACGACTTGGCAGACGAATTAGGCATTCTGATATGGCAAGATTTCATGTTCGCATGTTCAATGTATCAAGCCGATGACATATTCTTGAAGTAGTATATTCACAACACTACATTTGTTCAATTCTGATTACTTTTTTTATTTCCATAGCAACATCAATGAGGAGGTTCGTCACCAAGTAAAAAGATTGAGTAGTCATCCTAGTATTGCACTGTTTGCTGGTAACAACGAAAATGAAGGTGCCCTTGCTGACAACTGGTAAAAAAATAATTATCGATATTGATAGCAGCATTCTAGCAATATATTACTATTTTAGGTATGGTACAAACAGCAATTTTAGTCTGTATAAAAATGATTATGTGAAATTGTACATCGATACTATTGAAGTAGAATTTGATAGAATTACCCATCAAAGAGGAATTTTCATTAGCTCCAGTCCATCAGATGGAAATGAATCTAAAAAGCAGGGCTATGTTGCTACAAATCCTGGTGACACCTTGTTTGGAGATGGTAAATTGAATTCTCAAATATAGAATATAAATGATTACGAACGGAAAAATAAATAGCATTTGCAGCATGTTCCAAGTTTCGGATAGATTGATTAACATACTGATGTTGATCGAACTTTTTCAAGAGGCAGGACTGTAAATCCTGAACTTTTCTGTGATTATCTCATTTCCCCCCATTTTTTATAATTCAAGTATATGTAATACCATTCCATTTTTGTTTAAAAAAAGTAATATTGTTTAATATCAAATAATGTAACCGTTTTCCAGATTAATAATTTTAACTGATGAAGGAGAAAAAAATATTGCGCGCCTCCACCAAAATTTAAAAGGAAAATAAAAAAAATCAAGCTAAATTATGTTTTTTTCTCGAGGATACACATTCAAGGGTGAATATTTCCGAAAGGATATTTTATTCGAACTCCCAGTACGTACCTATTATTTTCACCTATACCACTTATTCATTGATTCTAAGTTTTGGTCGTCTCCCTAATAGCACACAACGTCCTAGAGACGTCCTTTTTGGCACAATTCAAGTCCGAATGTCCCGGACCAAAAATAATAAAGTGTCCTTGGGACGTCCCATCCCGTACATCTCATGCAATGTCCGTGCAAGGACGTCCATGGAATGTCCCAGCAGGTACATCATTTCAAATGTACTAGAAATAGCATCCCTTAGTCGTCCCATGTGGTACATATTACAGAATGTCCATGCTAGGACGTCCTTGGCATGTCCCTGATGGTATATGACTTTGAACGTTCCTTAAGTAGTACATATTGTGGCATTACTTCAGATATTATATAATGTCCCTTCTAGACAACTATGAAATGTTCCTGATGGTACATTCCTCAAAATATCTCTGCACAGACGCCCATAATATTTCCAGGATCGTATAACAATCGAAATGTCTCTTAGGGATATCCGTCGGATGTCCCAATTGGTACATGAACTGTACTCTTCCAATGTCTTAGAAATGGCGTCCTACGGACGTCCCAGTCGGTACTTTCAATATGTTTTGTCCCTGCGAGGACGTTAACTTACACCTCGCCGACGAATGGTTGCTCGTAGGCTATATATACTCCCCAACTATGTCCTTCACGTAAGTCCATTGGACATCCTTGGGAAACTTTTTCAAGATCTATTGGGGACCTTCTACGGACCATCAACTCAACTGGATGTCCTTATCAGTTATGCCAGATCTGATCCTAGAGGGACTCAAATTCAAGAATAACTCGTACGTCCCTGGGACATCCTATGGACATCCAATTGATATCCCTCAGCGTTGCTGATAGGTTGTCCTACGGATGTCCTAAGGATGTCCTCCGTAGTGCTTGATGCTATACTGTAGGATTTAGGTATTCGATAGTTGTCCCAGGGACATCCCTCAAGGACGTCCCAAGTTGGTCCTCTAGTGGGACATTTGTGCGTCCCACAGACGTCCAATGGACGGCCACGGTACCAAATTCGAACGTCCTTTGGACGTCCTGATTTTCCCGACAGGACGTCCTAAGGATATCCATGAGACATAATTGTATTATTACGGATACTAATCGGACACCTTATTCATGAAGGAAAAGATTATAGCAATTAGTATCTGTTATCGATTTTCAACTTTGTTTGGGTACTTCATAAAATACCCTCATCTTGTCTCTCACTCAACCAATATTTTTCTCACCCATGAATAGGAAACTTAGTCATACCAATGTAGGTATTTCAGTATTTTTGTCCTTTTGATATTTTAGTCCCCTTCAAACAAGGACTGACTCATTTTGATCGTTTTGGACAGTTTGGACTAAAGTGAACCGTTGCTAAGTCACTTCATAATATCAAAGCAAACTGACAAAATGACCAACAGATACTTATCAAATTGAATTGTAACATTGATAGAGGAATAACAGAGGTTACCTAATGTGGGTGCTGGTTTTTCCGAGAGTACAAGAAATAGTGTATATACCGTGTGAAATGAATATTCTCGGGGTAAAATTGACCGTGCTATAATAATTATTTATAATTCTTGACGTACAACCAAATCGATTACCATATATTTTCATTTCACAACTCAATTTAAAAAACTTTAAGAAACTTGCCTTTCCAAATATTTTGATGTGATTATGGAAATTACACGAATGAACATTCTCCATTGTATTTTCAGTTCATTATTATAATTATGTACTGGATCCATGGGACTCAAATGTTTACCCCGTGACAAGGTTCGCTTCAGAATACGGGTACCAATCTTTCCCTAGTGTTGGATCACTCTTGAAAGCTACCAATACAACTGACGATCTGAACATCAACAGCAAATTCATGGATCACAGACAACACCATCCTGGAGGAAATGCAGAGATACAATTACTCATGGACTGGAACCTAAATATGCCTCCTAGTAATGGCAGTAAATATTATGAAGCATTCATATATTATTCACAAGTAAGTAGATGTAGTCCTTCCTCTTGTGTAGTACAGTATATATCAACCTACAGACAGTAATCAAGTTAATATCGTTTTATATTTTCATTTAGATTATGCAGGCAATGTCAATAAAAGTGGAGAGTGAGCATTATCGGAGATTCAGGAACAATTTGAATAATAAGGGAGAGGGTAATACTATGGGTGCCCTTTATTGGCAGTTGAATGATGTATGGTTAGCCCCCACTTGGTCAGGCATAGGTAAACCCCAAATATAAGGATTTGTCAAATAAAGTGCTCAAATAAGAATCAAGTGGACCACTGAAATATTTGACAATTTTCAAACTGCCATATCTCTTTAGAAAATGAATGGATTTTCAATCGAAATGCAGTGCTTGGAAGATGCAATCTTTCTGTTCAAGATTCCCCGATCAAAACTCGGCAGGAGTTTTTCTGCCATCATAAACCAAGTGTTCGAAAAAAGTATTACAAAAATGAGAGAATTCAAACGCTTCCGTATTCCAGGGAATGTTTTTTATTTTTCTACTAATCATTTTTTTCGAACGTTCAAGTCAATATCTCGAAACGGTTTTGTAATTTTCCATATTCCTCATACAGGATGTTCAAAATCGATAATTTTTCATTTTTAGGTTTTAATCGCATCTTTGTCGATTTTAAAATCATGCAAGCCACATTCAACGTATTTTGCCACTCTATACGACGTAACACATCCTAGAAAATGGATTCATATTGCGTTGAAATCATCGACAACTTCAACAGAAGAAAAAATAATGTTTGTGGAGAAATTTGGTGAAATCGTCTGTTCAATTTGGTGCTGCCATAACCATATGCTATGCTAAACACAAATCCTTCATTTGGATCGATTGGTCAGCTCAATATCTCGAATTGATTTCGTGATTTTTCAGGTAAGGCAATCCAAGGGGGCGCAAGGAGGCCCTTCCGGATTTTTCTGACCAATTCATACAAAAACGATGCTACAATGGTTTCAAGATATTCCTGAGCTGACATGGAGTCAAGAAACCTATTTATCACTAGGTTTTTCATCGCGTAATCGAAAATCAATCGAAAAAGTCGATTTCTTTTAATCAACACTCATTTCCGCAATTAATACCACTGCAACACCCAATCCCGTCGAACCGATGATGACAGTTGTAAAAGGTTCGACAGGAGGCATTATATTGGGTGTTTCAGTGGTATTAATGGGGAAGACCACTGAGGGAAAAAATCCGTGCAAACCTCTTTCAATCGACGAATCATGATTTACATTTTATGTACAATCAATATTATGAGTTGAAGTTGAAGGGAATCGAATCTATATCGTTTTGAAATCAGCATATTTCATTCGATATTTCAAACAGCCAAATATGATGGTGGAGTCGTGACGTATTAGTCCCGAACTGTAGCTATCTCTCTCTGATACCTCGTCATTCTGCAGTGTTGCAGTGTAATTGGTCAGTTCAAGGACAATAGGCGTGTTGGGACTAAGACGTCGCACCAGTCACACCAATGAATTGATGAAATTTCAAATGGCGCAGGAATTGTCTGTTTTGAAATGGACATATACTAATTTATTTTTTTCATCGTCTTAGCATGAATGAAAAAATTCAAAATTAATTCACTGGTAGTTTTTCAGTATAGAGTTCACGATAATGTCGTTTTAAAAAATCAGTGGTCTTCCCCATTGCGTAAATGAGTGTTAATTAAAAGAAATCGACTCTTTCGATTGATTTTCGATTACGCGATAAAAAATCATGTGATAAATAGGTTTCTTGACTTCATGTCAGCTCAGGAATATCTTGAAACCATTGTAGCATCGTTTTTGTATGAATTGATCAGAAAAATCCAGAAGGGCCTCCTTGCGCCCCCTTGGATTGCCTTACCTGAAAAATCACGAAATCAATTCGAGATATTGAGCTGAGCAATCGATCCAAATGAAGGATTTGTGTTTAGCATAGCATATGGTTATGGCAGACGATTTCACCAAATTCTGAACATTTCTCCACAAACATTATTTTTTCTTCTGTTGAAGTTGCCGATGATTTCAACGCAATATGAATCCATTTTCTAGGATGTGTTCCGTCGTATAGAGTGGCAAAATACGTTGAATGTGGCTTGCATGATTTTAAAATCGACAAAGATGCGATAAAAACCTAAAAATGAAAAATTATCGATTTTGATCATCCTGTATGAGGAATATGGAAAATTACAAAACCGTTTCGAGATATTGACTTGAACGTTCGAAAAAAATGATTAGTAGAAAAATAAAAAACATTTCCTGGAATACGGAAGCGTTTGAATTCTCTCATTTTTGTAATACTTTTTTCGAACACTTGGTTTATGATGGCAGAAAAACTCATGCCTAGTTTTGATCGGGGAATCTTGAACAGAAAGACCTTTTCGATTGAAAATCCATTCATTTTCTAAAGAGATATGGCAGTTTGAAAATTGTCAAATATTTCAGTGGTCCATACTTGTTTCTTTGAGTACTTTATTACATTCATTGCTTTTCAGATTATACTGGAAAATGGAAAATGTTGCAATATCATACACAAGAATTTTTCGCCCCTATCATCATAACAGGACATATCAATGTGGAGAGAACATTGGATATATACATTGTATCAGACCTCCTGTCACCAGTTCTAGGTGTAACAGCTGTCATTAGAGTGTATCACTGGAACTCATTGGAACCTCTTAGCACTGAGAGTTTATCGATAGACTTGGTAATATTTCAACATAAAACTGTGGTCTCATGTGGAAGAGATACCTACTCAAAATGATCTTTTGTATCCTTTCCTAGTGTTCAATACAAGGAATCGTGTTTTCTCATATTTTTCCTATTAGTGCAGAAGGCTAGAGGCGATAATGTGATTTTTCATTGGGAGGATATTTGAAAAGTATAAGGTGTACTTATACAGAGTACACTAATAACCCCCCTAACGAGAAATATTGAAAGGAATTATCGCTAACAATATAAAATGAATAAGAGCCACTCACAATAGCCTAGGCGTTGCCGAGGTTAGAAAACCAGCCAAAGCATTACATCTTCTTCTCTGCCATGTGAAACATATATACACTTTTTTCTCCAAATTCTTTTCAATTTCACGCAAAGCCCGAATAATCCATCATTTTTTGTTCACCCAAAGTCTTTGTCAATTTTGATTACCAATTTGATTCAAATTACTTGGAACGTTGCATAGCAACAACATTTTTCTGCCTAGGCAGTAAAAGTACACCTTTACTGCCTGTTGAGTGTCATTGAAAAGTCACTTTAATGTCATTTGGATAAAAAATAGTTATTTGTTTAACTAGTGAGAAAAGCACAAGATTTGATGCCGTGGCTGGCGTTTCATTGCCAAGGCGTAATCGAGGCTAGGGAACCAGCCAAGGCATTAAATTTGCTTTCCTGTCGTGTGAAACATGTAATTGTTCCTCCAAATTCTTTAAAATTCACGCATACTCCAAATAATCCATCATTTGTGTTCACACAACGTCATTGTCAATATTGATTACCAATTTGATTCAAATTATTACTTGGAACGTTTCATAGCAACAAACTTTTTGTGCCTAGGCCGTAAAAGTACACCTTTTCTGCCTGTTAAGAGTCATTGAAACGCCATTTTCAATGTCATTTGGAAAAAAATTATAGGCTATTTATGTACAACCTCGGTTGAAAGGTTATGTTATGAGGCAGTCATTTGCTCGATGCAGTCTTCATGACTTGACTTGTTATTTGTGGCCATTGTCACTTCATAATTGACGATTTCATATTTTTTTTCAAAAAAATGCATACTTTCTTGTTAGGTTTGCCTTCGTAATTTTAACAGAACTCTAGGTATTTCTTTCAAGAATGATACCATAACAAAATATCTTATTTCCTCTCATTTTTGAAGTTTTCTCGCTCTCAAAATACACCACTTATTTTAAATGTATTAATATTTTAGGAAGCAGGACACTCTCATCTCATAAAATCCTTACAAACTGACAATTACTTGAATGAAAAAAAATGTGGGGCACTAAATGACGCGAGAAACTATTGTTTCTTCTACTTGTCACTGGAAAAAGATGGTGCAAAAGTTGCTCCTGATAACTTTGTCTTTCCCGAGAAGCTCAAAAATTCTCATCCTCAACAAGCTAAAGTACAAGTGAGTCTGACAATAATTATCTGAATACGACTGTGGCAATGGAAATTTGATAATTTGATGTCAATTTTTTTAACTTTTTTATTCATGAACAGATATCATTGATCTCGGTCTAGGACAAATCTGAAATTTCTCAAACTTTGAAAGTCGCTGATGCGTTTTTTGAGTCGTACTATAGTATTCCAAGTAGATATGGGGAATTCTTGTGACTCAAAATTTTTTGAACAGGACGACAAATCAGACATGTGAATCTGTCAAATAATTGATTGAATCATATTTTCCGGGTATGTTCTGCCGTAATTTTTCAAACTCAAGTATGGCGTATGACAAACATCACTTGTTGTATTGTAGGTCGGTGCTCCTTATTGGGATTATTAACACTATTGTGGAATTGTTTTATGGTTTTATCCGAATTGTTTCCACAGTTATTCAGGGTTCTTCAAAACATTTGTCGGAAAATGAAGGATATGATTATATTGGTTTGATTCTAAGAAAAAAGTTAACAAGGGTTGCGCTATTTTGCGAAATTTTGGCTGTCAATTATATTAATTTTTTTACGGTATCCCAAGAACCGTTTGATTTTATTGCTTTCAACTATTGTCAAATGCTTCCGAAGATGGAACAAAAATGACGCATATACCACCTGGTTTCTGCTAGCAGCAAGTTTTGACTTCGTCGTTTTCCTCTCAGTCATCACACTCTTCGACCCATCACATATTATTGAAATGGGCGTATTAGACAAATCTCGAAGAGAAGCTTGTCCGGCAACTTGTTCAACCTCCATTGGTTCTGTCAGAGAGTCACCACAGTCGCTAATTATAAGCGCCTAGCGTTGCCACATGGCAACACGAATATTTAACGCAATCATTTTACACAAAAAACATGTTTCTAAAATGTTTTCGAAAATGTCACATACATAACTCAAAGCATATACAATACTATTATGGGGAAATAAATCGCGAATTCAAAGGCGCAAAAAAGGATGATACTTACTCAAAGTTAACGTCCATGCTATACGCAAGTTCAAATAAACTCAAAATTTCACTAATGTTTCTAAAAATCTGAGTTCTTAGGAATCATTTTTGAATCTCCACATGGAGGTTAATGCATTTTTGGCATTCAAGTATTATCAACAACAACTCCCAACAATTAACTCAATATTTACCAAAATGAAAGTTTCGTTATCGTGTTACTACTTTTCATGTTCTTCACCATAAAGTGCCGTTCCTTTCTAAAACGGTTCACATTGGCAGTTCGAGATAAGGGACACAAAACCGTACCTTGAAATTCACACAAATGGCATAAGAATGGAAAAATAATCAGGCCAGGAAAAGTAGCTAATATCGATGATGTGTACAGATGCTGATGAGTTGGATCTTATCCTGAACGGTTCCTGATATCGAAAACCGTCAATAATTTTTTTTCTAAAAATCAAATAATGCATTCCATCTCCTATTTTTCGACAAAAAATGTTTCGAAATGTCATGTATACAGGGTGGTCCGTTTTTTAATACGGAAAATTTAACAGCGTATAGTACTCGTTGAAATAATAAAAACTTCCTATGAACATATACTTTTAAACGCTTCGTTTTTGAGATATATATTGGGTGTCAAAAATACGCTTCTGAATATATTTTTTTATTCAAAAGTTGAAAACGGTAGATAAATTTACGAAATTTTTCACAGATACTGAGCTTTTCGAGCTTTATTAGATTAATTAAAAATTATTCATGAAAACTATTCAGTGGCGGCTGAATCTGGGGTGGCGAAGGTAATAATTACAAAAAATTTTCGGGTAATTATTTTTCAAGTTTCAATGAAAAAAGCTCACTTGTAAGATTTTATAGCATTTTTTAGTTCAATAATACTACTTGATATCAATTAAAGAAGTATGCTATGCTCAGTTGCTCACTGTTCACTGTTTATATGTGCTGTCACTATGAAAGTTCTGTCAAAGAAATAACAATAAACTGGAGTTATTCCGTGTTTTTATCAAAAAGTGTATAATTGCATTCCAGTTTTGCCGTTTGTCAATATGCCTATGGGATTTAGTACTGAAGAGTATGCAGATTTTCATTTCGGTTACGGATTTTGTAATGGAAATGCAAAGGCAGCAGTTCGGGAATACAGAAATCGCTTCCCTAGGAGAAGGGTACCTAATGCACGAGTCTTTATCAATACTCACTCACGTTTCGTCAGTTTGGGTTACGTGGCAATAATGAACTGTAATAGGTCTGAAAGTTAGCTCATTGATATTTCCACAATAGATGTGAATTTCATCACAATCGGTTATAGCATTTCTGAGAAATCAATAAATAATCGATTTTTTTAAGAAACGTATATGTTCATAGGAAGTTTATATATTATTTCAACGAGTACTATACGCTGTTAAATTTTCCGTATTAAAAAACGGACCACCCTGTATTTGTAGAATCATTTTGGATGGAGCGATAAAATAGTGCTAATAAATCCTAAGAGCAACAATCAACAATACAACAAGCGATATGTTTGTCATACGCGACCTTGAATTTGAAAAATTGCGAAAAAAAATACGTGACAAATATGAATCAATATCAATATACAGGGTGAGAATAAGACCGAAAAACATATTCCTTACCTCATTTTGAGGTGGAAAGTTCTCATCAACGTTTGTCCTATAATGTATTCTTACTGAGATATATAGGGTGTCAAAAGTCTGAGAAAAATCAATATTTTTTAATTGGTAACCTACTATGCTCATTTAAAGAACGCCTCAGCGTGTTTAAATTCAACTTACAAAAACGCGCATTTTTTAATAAATACCGTGAAATGTGAAGTCTGAAAATGCCAACATTTCAAGTATCGATCTGACAGAAGTATCGATCTGACAGAAGTATCATGGAATGTCAAATAAAATATCAGGTATTTCCATATTTATGATCTCAAAGTGTACCAAATGTGAAAAAAATATCGTAAGGTATTCGTGGAAAACTGGTCTTTCAAGCACTTGCTCTATTTCCAGCACTCTGGCTAAGCCCTTGTAGTCGAAAAATCGAGCGTGTTAGAAAGCCATTAATATCCACTTATACTTTGAAATATTATACAGGGTGAGCCATGAGGAACTGTACATACTCCTACCACGAATAGAGGCCCTTGAGGGGAATGTCTAATGACCATCAATTTTTTATTTGAATTTTTTAATTATTTCTTCTTATTGTATACTCATAATATAGCGGTGTTCCTTCGAGAAATAACGCATTTACATTGTTTCTACACCTTTCATGATTTTTTTTTGTAAATTAACTTGTTCTTCTCATTTTATTTTTGGGATTGAGTTTAAAACCAGCTTTCTGCTGATACTCCAGGTATATAAGGTATGGCAAATTATCTTTGTCTTCTGATTTCTATTTGTGATTTTTTTTTCCTGCAAATGATGAATAAAGACGATTTATTATTATTATTATTATAAAATGCGGCGACATACGAGCGTGACTACGACACTGGCTAACGATATTCATAAATGGAACAAGGGCTCTGGAGAATTTAAAATGAACCTTAATTTTTTCTGTACTCTACACCCTGTATCTCAGATATAATGCATTTTAGGACATCAGTTGATATGAACTGTTCACCTCAAAATGAGGACAGGAATAACCCGTATACGAAGTACGTCGGTCTTATTACGACTCACCTTGTATATACATTTTTGAACAAATTTGCTCGTCCGATCTCATCTTCTGTTGAGAAAAGTTGAACTCTTCATAATATTTTACGTTAAATATAAAAAAACGTCTAATTTCATCAATAAATCAATGGAAAAATAATTATTTCGTGGAATATATCAACATAATGGACATTGCTACATTTTATTGTATTTTGAAAGATAGGTAAATGAATTCATAACTTGATAATATTTTTGTAGATTGTGTCCGTGGAGAATATCAGTAATGAAGGAGTTTATCAAATTACGATAGCTACAGATAAAGCAGCATTGTTCGTCTGGTTGGATACAGTTATACAGGGAACATTTTCAGATAATGGATTTTTACTCGTCAACTCTACACAAAATATTTACTTCACCAGTGAGGAAAACACAACAGCGGAGGAATTATCTAAAAGTTTAACTATTACACACTTGCTCGATGAACAATATTTTCAGTAATGTGCAAACATTCAAAGAGTTATATACATATATGAGTTCCCATATTAAATGATATCAGGTACATTAAGATAGTTTTTGCACTTCTTAGACTAAAGTGTGTGTTTCAATCCCTCAGGGATTAAACTGACAAAATAATTTGAACTGCTACACATTTTCAAACGATACATACTGTCTACTAGAGTTGTATAAAAAAAGTCAAAACAGCAGTGCCAAGTACATGTAGGAACTTGTGATGTTTCGAATATTGATTTTTTTTTGATAAAAATCATTTAAAAAACTATACATTTTGAAACGATACGCGTGCACCAATGCGGCTTACAAAAAATAGAATGGGTATATCAGATGTTATATTGAGTATTAACAGATTCCGTTTCCGAAACGTCCGTAGTAAAATTTCAGATTTTCATTTCATCATCTTCTTCAACATTTTTCGAACAAAAGGCGTCACTGACTATCGATTGAATTTTTCTTACAGGGTTCTCAATGTGGAATTGTAAGCGCAGTGACATTATATGGGGCAAAACATTTGATTTTTCCCTACCATATTGATATAATATTTTTATTTATAGAGATGATGAGGAGATGAAATCCCAAAAATTTAGAGGAATGGATATATAGTCACTTTGTTTTCAATAAGAATTATTGAGAAACATGTGTTGTGGCTTCAAATAATTTTTTTTTATCGCTTGGTTAGTGGTGAAACAGTGTATTATGTCTGTGATATTTTCTTGTTGTATCCAAGACGGGCAGAAAAAGACGGTGACATTACAAGACATCTCGATAAATAGTGTTTTTTATATTATTTTCCTATTAGCTAGGTACTTGAATATCCGCAACAGGACGTCTTGCTTATTTTGATTGGCCTATACCCTCAGAGAACAAGTTGTTGAAGATACAGTTTTTTATTTCTCTCTTGGAGCGCACGAAACGGAATCCGTATAATGGTCGAAGAACATCGTGCGTACCTAGGGAGGATAGGGAGAGGAGGTACCCAGCCAGCACAGATAAATTTTTAAGATATCGCTGCAATATCACTTCGTGACCGCATCGTTACGCCGCACAGACGTCCCAGCGACTCACTTTTATCACACTCATGATGCATGTTGGCGACGTCTATGCGATGTAATTCTCAGACGTCACAAAGATGTATCCTAATAACTTATCAGTAACGAAGCTACATATCAGCGAAAATTAAGACATTTATAACAAAAATATTAATCGACAAATTCTTCAGAAAATGAAAACCAAGCGAAAAAAACTATTACAGTAACCGGTAGAATCAAACGGTCACTCATCTAAGTACTAACCGCGCTCGTTGTTGCTTGGTTTCGCTGATCGGACCATATCACCAACTTATAACTATCCGGACTGCTAGTAGTCATATCGCAGCAACCCGAAAATATATAGGGTCAGATGCTCGCCTGGAAACGCTTCTGCTCAACACGCAAGAACCCCCAAGCTGTCGTTCATGACTTTGATGTGGTATCGAAATCAACCTAGTATCCATTTTGTTCATAGGCCTCGGCAAGGCGAATGGCGTCGTTTGAAATGTTTTATTTATGTCGGTGGTCGGCTTAATAAGAATCAAAATTAACTGGTGATATTGATTTTTTCGTTATATTTTCGCTAATCCTAGGGAATATATGAAGTGGTTTGTTCTTTGGTGTAAGAATTTTTATCATTAATAATACTAAAAGGTATTATTTTAATTTGCTTTCATCAGTTGGCCAAGTATTTAGATCGACTGGAATCATGCTTGTTTTGGAGGTATATTCTTTCAGATGTGAAGAATTTGACTTCAGGCGTGAGGTGCCATACCTGCTCATCTATTTTGGATTAAAAGTTGACTCATTCAATAATGTTTCTAGAATTTCTAAGGATAAATGAAGAAATAAATGGTTTGAGGCTATTAGGAGACCATATTAGACCTTAGAGTAATATTTTCAGACTATTATTCCACACCAGACAGCTTTCTGATGCTTCCATCAGGCAAGACCAAGACTTTGAAACCATATGCGAATTCGCCGTTTTTGAAATAGAGTTCTCAAATCTGAGTACTGGAAGGTATGAGACCTGATTACTGCATGATTCATTGATTTTTCACTACAGTATGTATGGTTTAACAATACCTTCCATAGTAGACCCCACCCAAGATTTTTCCTTCGATATGCCTATGTTCCTCGACTTCATGAGTGTAGCATGACAGATCCTTAATGCGCATAAATCAGTTCCACCATTTCGATCTTTGATTGGATCGCTGTTCGTTGGATGAACGAGTCTTTGGAAGGAGATGTTCTGCGAAGCCTCAACTCGACGGGTTAATCTCGCGATGACCGCTAAGGGAGGACCAATTGTTGATTTTTCAGAAGAACATCGTCCATGAAAATATCTATAAAATAGAGCCAGATCGCCAACTATTCTACAGTGTTCCAGAGAAGTAAGTGAGTGTGTGAGCGAGTCATCACCCAAGAGACGAATTGCCCTTTTTTGGACAGAATCCAACAGTTTCAGGGTATGTTTGGGTGCTGCACTCCAAATATGGGAACAGTATTCCAGGACAGGTCGGATCTGTGACTTATAGATCATAAGAAGCTGACTGGAAGGGAAATAGCTGTTGGCCCGAAACAGAAAACCAAGGTTTTGGGATGCACTTTCAGCAATTGATCTCACGTGATTTTCCCGAGAAAGGTTATTGCTGATGTAATACCAAGCATCGAAATGGATGTCTTCAAAGGTATGGTTACTCCTGACAAGCTTATGTTGGGCACAGTGGGATCGGCTTTTCTAGAGAAAAGACATGTTTGTGTTTTGTTTGCATTGAAATCTACCAAGTTATTGGATCCCCATTCGAGAATTGTTACCAAGTCTATACATATATTTATGTTGTCAACATTTCTTCCTCGTTCGTTTCTGATTGGAGCCCTGGAAGAGAAGGCGGTATGCCGTATGGAGGGTACTATCGTCCGCGAAGCTGTGTACTGGACATGAAGTTGCTTCCAACAATCGTTGACGTGGAGTAGACGTAGTGTTGGTGCTAGAATTAATCCTCGCGGAAAACCAGCATTCATGATAAGAGAGTCAGATGAAACTCCGTCGACCACTACATGGAGAGACCTGTTTGAGAGAAAACTAGCTAGCAGAGAACATAGTTGGGGAGGCAAGCCATAAGATGGAAGCTTGGCGAGGAGTTCGTGGTGCCAGACTCGATCGAATGCCTTAGAGATACGATATCAAGTGCCACGGCTAAGGTTTCACCATATTTTTCAATAGATTGCTGCCATAGGTATATGTGAGACGTAAGCGAGCAGGTCACCAGTTGATCTCTGACGACGGAAGCCATATTGCCTATCGTTGATAATACCTAAATGTTCCAGTTATTTCATGAGCTCGATGTTGATAGCTTCCTCCATGATCTTTGAAATAATAGATAGCAGTGCGATCGGTCTGTAGTTGCTAGGTAGGGTCTTTTTGCATTTTTTAGGGACTGGTTGTACTCTTGCAATTCTCAGTTGGACGGGAATATCGCCAATTTAAGAGTAGTTGAATAACTTGCAGAGAACAGGTGGTGTTAGTTCGGGAGCACATTTCTTGAGAACAATCGGTGGGATTCCGTCGGAGCCACAAGCTTTGTTGGTGTTGAGACCCAATAAAATCTTTTTTATAGTACGTTGGCGAAAGGTGATCTCGGGCATATGATTGTCAATTGGCGTTATGTTTGGAGGTTGTTTTCCCGATGAATCCAGAGTGGAATTTTCAGCAAATGAATGCGCAAAAATGTTTGCTTTCTCCTGGGCAGTTGTGGCTAGTGTTCCATCTTCCTTGGTTAAAGCACGGGTTATAGTTCAGTGGGTTAAAGGGGGAAACGAGCTGGAAGTGAAGTTTCTTCCTACGGCTTTGGCGAAGGACCAAAATGAACGGGATCCGTTAGGACATTCAACAAGTTTTGATCTGATTTTGGCATTATGAGCATTCTTAGATGATCGAATCGTCTCATTGCATATATGCCTCTAGCCTCGACATATTTTGCTCTAGTCTCAGGGCCTGGATTTTTATGCCATCGATGAAATGCTGCCTGTTTGGAAACAACAGCTCTAGAGCAGTTTCTACTGAACCAGGCCTTATCGGAAGATGTTCTCCTTGCATCCCCAACATATATGATGATTTCAGAAATTGTCTCAGCACATCGTGTTGGATCTGCCGAGGAGAAACAAACTCCCTTTCATGGAAACGCTGCAAAAAACATACGAAGACCTTCCCAGTCGGCTGAATTGTAATGCCACATGAGACGGCGGGTTGGAATTGTGGTGCTGGATGGTACATGGAAAGAGCATGGAGATGAGGGTGTCGTCAGTTGTCAAGTGGGGCACAAACTTCTATCCTATAAGGATCAGGATTGCTGGTGAGAAAAAGATCTAGTGTATTGGCAGACTGGTTGTTGACATCTGGAATGCGGGTTGGTAGTTCGACTAGTTGTTCAAGACCATGAGTGATGGCGAAGGCCTAGGTTTGACGACCTGCATCATCTGTTTTGTTAAAGAATTTGAGCCTGGCTGCGTTGTGTACATTGAAGTCTCCCATGGTTATGATTTCAGCTGTTGGATGGTTCTCCTGAATGAAGTACAGTTTGAGTGATAAAAACTCAAAGAGTTTGTTATATTCATTATCATTAGGTGATAGGTAAAGGCAGCAGATAAATTTGGTCAGTTTGTTAATTAACGACTAGCTTGAATCACATCTCATCAAAGTCTTTCGAATCCAAACTCTCATATACACGCTGGCATGAAAGGTTAGCCTTAGCAGAGGCACTCCACCTTTGAACCTGAATCAAGAATGGAGTTCGTAACCAGGCCAGAGAGCATGTGGACCTTGTTGGTGGACGAGTACACTTGAGTTTCTGTTAGTGCCAGAATATCTGGGTTTTTTTCGTTTGTAGATGATGGTGGATGGTCATCATTGATATCCATCTCTCCTGTTACTCTGTTCATTTCATTTATTACTTTACATTGCCAACCGTAGCGGAATTCCACTACACATAGCGGGATTTGCCCTCAAGAGCGGCGTAGCGGCGATGGAGCAAAATGACAGCAATAATACGTCTGGAGTAGGGCTGCGCGATATTGGATTTCAGTTATCGGTTATCGATAAGTTGAAATTTATCGATAAGTTCGATATATCGATATATCGATATTTATCGATATATCGATATTTATCGATAATTATCGATATTTATCGATATATCGAAATTTATCGATAATTATCGATATATCGATATTTATCGATATATCGATATTTATCGATATATCGATATTTATCGATATATCGATATTTATCGATTTATCGATATTTATCGATTTATCGATAGTTATCGATATATCGATATATCGATATTTAAAAACTTGAATATCGTTATTCGATATATCGATATATCGATATATTTATCGATATATCGATATTTTTTCCCAGCCCTATTTCTGATCATTTAGTGTCAAACATTGAGGGACTATATAGTTATTCAATTCCGGAAAGTGGAAAAAAAATATTTCACCATATTATTCAATGCAGCGCTTCAAATTAATTATGAATTCATACACGATTTACTTTAATAACATAATTTTGGCAATACCAACAGAAACATTCATAACAATTGTTCAAAATGATGACCATTATTCTCTAAATAAAGATATCCTCTTCTCACAGTTGCTTCTAAGACATTACTGAGCAACCTTTTCTTGGACACACTGTATATCGATATATCAATATATATCGATAAATATCGATATTTATCGATATATCGATATTTATCGATAATTATCGATATATCGATATATCGATACTTATCGATATTTATCGATATATCGATATTTATCGATATATCGATATTTATCGATATATCGATATTTATCGATATATCGATATTTATCGATATATCGATATTTATCGATATATCGATATTTATCGATATTTATCGATATTTATCGATATTTATCGATATATCGATATTTATCGATATATCGATATATCGATATTTAAAAACTTAAATATCGTTATTCGATATCTCGATATATCGATATATTTATCGATATATCGATATTTTTTCCCAGCCCTAGTCTGGAGTTTTAATTTCCAATTTCTTAGAGGAGTGTATGTACTCAAAATTTTAAGACAGATTTTTCCATCATAAGTATTGTGAGCTGAGCTGTCGCAAAGTTGGTAGAATTGATGATTCATTTGTAGAGGAAGGTTAGGCGTTTTCGGAAACCTACTCGGGTTGACTCGATCCCTAACCTGCACGTTCGTTTACCTAACTCGAGTAACATACCCATGTTCGGAAACTTCGGTGTTACTTACTCGATCACTAACTCGGGTTCATGTTTCGCAACCCTGCTCCAAAGCAGAGTCAGCCAGAGTTAGTACCTCAGATCATACACTTACTACCACAGAACTACTCACGATTCATGTATTTCTAAGGTCACTTCAGATATTATTTGATTTCATCAATTGAATAAGAAGTGAATTATGTTGAATAGCATTAGTTTGATGATGAAAATACACCAACATCATGAGCAGAAGCAATATTCATCATTTCTAGAACAATAACAACGTGTATCTTTTAAGAGTTAAGTGGTATGTTATTAAAGATATGGAGAAATTGATTCGAAAATATTGATATCGTATAGCAAACTGAAAAAATTGCATACAGCTGTAAGAAATCAAGAAGTTCTATTCGAAGAGGTATGAAGCTAACTCAATAAAATAGTAACCTGATAAGTTCGTAAACTATAGTATTAGGATAAGTGATCCGACTGATCCATCACGTGACCCGTTCAGATCGAGTCAACAACCCAGAGTAAGTTTCCGAAAACGCCTGTTGTCTCGATCAGAAAACTCGGTGAGGGGAAGTAGTAATTCGATCGTGACATAATCGCATCCAAAATTTCATGTTGGGATTCTCTGGATAGGTAAGTACACTTGAAGGCAGTTGTAGAACATATAGGTCCCATGACTCCGAAATAATGGAAATTTCGGTGGGATTACGTCACGAATTACCACTTCCTCTCACCACAGTTTACTGATCGTGGCAACCTTCCTTTACAAATCATCAATTCTACCAACCTTGACCTGTCGTTAAAGCTAGAGTGACTATGTTAAAGCTAGTGGACTGCAAAGCAAGTTGTGTTAGTTATGGGCAATGAAAATGAACTCAATGTAAACACCGAGGGCTTAAGAGTTCTATTCAGTAAGTTATCATTAAAATACGATATCTTTACCTTAACGATACATTGACCAACGACATTTCGAACGATAAATTCTAGAAGTTCGATGTCGTTAGAGAATTAATAATCTGGGGACATGGTAATAAATGGATTCATTGAATGCTGGTAAAAGTATCCCAGCCAACTATGAGATGTATAAGTGATGTATACGCCACATCACTTTGTGACATGCGATATCGCATTTGAAGTCACAAACATGTTACCGATACAACGTGGCGATGTGAAAATGTCCGACTCAAGCAACATCACTGTGACGTCGTGAAATGCGACATCACATGAAAAATCACTACCAGGTCACATACAAGTGTACATTTCATATTACAAATACATCACACTGCGACATCGATGATGTGGTCGCCGTACCTGTGATATTCGTGGGATATAGTATAATAAGTTTTATTCAACTCTACGAAGAAAATGTTTATTTTCCGAAAGTAAAAACAGATTATACAAAACTTATCATGACAATCACCCTAATTAGTAATCTTGAAGTAAAACATGACACATATACCTATATAGCAATACAAATATACATTATTCATAAATGATACATATATATAGGTATCAAATACACTTACATTATCTTGGGATCTTTCATAAACCTTGTTTTAGATTGCAATATTCCTAGTCTGTACGGTGTCGGACTCACTCACTGACTGACTGACGTGGCCATGCACAGCTCAACATGGCGTCTGGCGTGTGCGTTCGTTTTGCGCATGTCTGCGTCACACTCACAGGTCACAAAGATATCTGATGAGGATATCAATGTGAATTATTTAGTTAACGTCGAAGAGATGTAGTTTGAAGAAGTCGCTGCCACATTACATAGTTTCCTGGTTGCGATGTCACTTTGCGACGTTGATATCGAATCTACGTCGATATGATGTGTTAACGAGATATTGCATTTATGCAAGGTTGTTACATCACACAGATGTTGATGTCACACGATGGTTGGCTGGGATGTTGATATTCCGTTGCCAAAAACGCGCGAAACTTGTTAGAAGTTGAAAAAAAGGTGATGGTATGTTATTTTTATCAAATAACATGGTCCGTATACTTCGTCTTTCGTGTCGAAAATTGCATCAGCTCTATGAGGGAACTTCACAACAATAAGACTAGGGCGTGTTTTTCATTCCATCGAAGAAAGTGCGCACTGATAGATGCGGTTTTTTGTCGTGACGTCACCAATTGTTCTGTTGGAATTTATGCTGGAAGGATTGAACAATGGTTTATACAACACTGATGGAAACACGGATTTTGTTGTGTGTCAGTCATCATGTATCTTGAGAATCAGAAAAGGCTAATTCGACTTTATTGATTAACACTGACTCTTTTTTCTAAAATCTCTCAAGAATCTCAAAAATCCTCAATATTAATTGGTTTCTATCAAATCAAAACAAAAAACAACACTAAAATGTGTCAACTGTCATGTCAATCTCCTCCAAACTGCAGGATTCTCGAAATGCGATTTAAAAGTGCGCATTTTATTACAACACTTTGATGGATGTCCATCAACATTCCAGCGGAATTTTGCAACAGTTTGATGGTTTCTTCGATTCATGCGCATGATAAAATGTTGGAATGAAAAACGCACCCCTACTTATATATATTGACTTTTTTTATTATTTGAATTGCTCTGGCCGTTACTTGATGAAAATCCATGGCAAATGTAAAATCACACTACACACGACATGTTTTGCTAACAACAGTAGCTTCGTCAGGTGATATACTGGTACAATGAATTGAACTTAAACCTTGGCTTGCTCAACTTAGATAGGTATCCTACTTTCCCAACCTGAAGGATTAGTTACCTGTGGACGTTCGATAAACCTTAATTTTCGGAAATTAGGCACAATATCTACGTTTGTTTATTTAGATTAGCTTTTCTGAGGAGAGATCACTTTACTATTAAAGACTCACTTGATCAGACTTTAAAGCTAAAAGACGAAAACCATGAATCACCTATATATGTGGTACGGGTTTCTTGAGGCTAGTAGTGAAAGGAAAATCATTTTAGGATATAGGGTGTTGAATAATTTTATCAATTCAATAGTTTTCCCTATATATTTTTTATGAATTTTGACCCAGGTGTAGGAAATAGTGCATGTCATGACCGGGCTTCCATATTTTACAATAGGGCAACAGTGAAACAGTGAGGTTAAATCGGTTGAACAAGTTAAAATCATTCCAAATAGAAAATAAAAAAAAACAGTCCATAGCCCACTCACAACATTACTACATTACTCAAGGGCAACAGTGAAACAGTGGGGTTAAATCGGTTGAACAAGTTAAAATCATTCCAAATAGAAAATAAAAAAAACAGTCCATAGCCCACTCACAACATTACTACATTACTTAAGTTTTATTTATTTTTGAGTGCAACACAAAAAATATTCATTCATAATAAAAATAATGTCTGACAACAAAAAACAACTCTCATCATAACAAGAAATAAATATACAAAATCTCTGAAAAAGTAAAAAAATATTCCTAAAGTTAGTAATAGCAAAACAAATGTTCTCTTACAATTTTTTATTTCTTCTCTATTATTGCCTAACTAAATAATTGATAATACTATTTGGTTTCACCCTTTTCCCTGGCATGTTAATTTTTTTCTCCCTTTCCCTAGTTCTTTTATAATTCTCCCACAACTCTATTTGCAGTTCCTTTGGTAGTGCCCAGAAAACATCTTTGTCAGCATCAGGAGGACAAGAAATATTTGGATTAGTGTAAATATCCATAGGCTCATCAGTTGAATTCAGCCTTAGATCAGACACTGTCAATAGTGAAGAAGATTCAATAGGTTTTTGAATCATATTGGACATTTTTGATTTTTTTGACAATGGTTCAATTTCTGGAATCTCTGTGGCTGATGTTGATGGAATTTCTTTAGGATCCTTCTGAACATTGCAAAGACTTTCTATATCAGTCACAGATTGGACTTCAATATTCTTGGAAAGAAAATTAGTTAAAGTGTTTTTGGTAGCAGGACGCTCAATAAATTTTGTGAATGATAGACCTAGTAGAGTTAAATGATAAGGTTTGCTAGTATCAACTGCTTTTCCAAATAAACGCATTATCACAGTCATAATCTTGTTGAAATCATCATTTGACAATTTCATTATGTCATTTCCAAGGAAAGTTGATGTATTCAGATTGCACTGCCTTGTTTCTCTATTAGATGATTTTTTACTTTTATCAAATTTTCTCACTGTTAATTTTATTGTTCTTGGTGTCCTTCCATCTTCAGAAACTAAAATTAATAGTCTTTTCAGCAGCTGCTCCATCTTTTCTCTAACCTCTTTGTCAGCAGATATTGATTTATAACTGTCTTCTATACCAATGCTTTGAGGTTTTCCAGTTCTTTTAACAGATGATGGGTCTATACCAAAACTCAAGTGATGAAGCACTGCAGCTTTCTTATGTCCAATAAGATCCTCCAATTTTGCAACATCACAGTTTTGTAGATCTTCCACAGTTCTGATTCCTATATTACTCAGTTGGTCTAAGGTAGTGTAACCAATGCCTGGTATTCTTGATAAAGATGTTAAACTCAACATCATTTCAACTGCACTGTTTGGAAATACTACTGTTTGTTGGTCTGGTTTATGTTGACCCCCAGCAATCTTAGCAAGTAATTTATTGTGAGCAATTCCTGCTGAAGTAGTTAGGCCTAGTTCAGTTTTGATAGCAGAACGGATATGTTGTGCAATATTTGTAGCAGATTTGATCCTTTCATAACATCCACACTCACAAGGTGAACTGATATCACCAAAAACATTACCCACTATACTATCTCTAGAGTCTTTTCTTATCTGATCGTTCACAAGGTTCGTGACATCCAAGAAATTTTCATCAAGTCCTAGACGATTCACTGAAGGAGAGTATTTCTGTAACAGTTCTGTTACTTTGTAAGACATTTGACGATACTCATGGAGATCCTCACCTTTAACTAATATAAGGTTCGGACATATTTCTCTTGCTTCTGTGATTAACATGCATTTTTTAATTCCAAATTCTCTAGCAATGTAATTGCTTGTGACTACAATATTTTTCTGCTGGATTCCAAGAGGCACATATTTCAATTTAGGGTCTTTAATCATTTCCACCTGTGCATAAAAACAATCAATGTCTATGTGTATTATTGTTCGAGAGTGGTCTTCAAGAGGCTTGTAGGACTCCATGGACATTAATCTTTTTGAGCAGTAGTCACTGCATTAGAGTTGGAGACAATATTATAAACGACAAAATAACTCACTTGACTTGTGACTAGTTCATCTGAGATTTTACTTGCTGCTTTTTCCTTGTTTCTTGTTTTTATTGTTAGAAAAACATAAGGTTACACTTTATTGAGATTTGGAGAGGACATGAGGAATCATGGATTTATTGGATTTCAGATTCTATTTTCAGTAAAGGCTAATCTGTATGTAGTATGTACGCTGGTAACTGCACGAAATATCAGCTGATTCATAGCATCGATACATCTCACATCGATCTATCGAACATCAACTTTTCAGACTCTTTTTAAGGTGAGTTCCCAATGCAGCGTTTTTGCTTTAGGCGTCGCGCATCATGCAACCTGATTGATGACGCTGAATTTGAAAAATATTTGACGCGATGAAGTTATAGTAATTTTCCTAACAAGTGCGGAAAGTGATTCTTTCCCGCAAGCGACTGCCGTTGACACGAACGACGGGAAGCTTATTACTTATTTCTGTTTTATCGCCACGTCGTCCAAAGCCTACTTGTTCAAGATGTGCGTTTCAAAGTTTAGATGTGAAAACCAAAAAAGTACTGCATTTCAAAGATGACTTCAGTAAAATACAGAGTGTGTTTTATTTTTGGAATGGTAATTTCAAGCTCTATCTGTCCCATACAAAATAATTTTCCGTTATAAACTATTGATATATACTTTGAAAAAATAAATTACTTATACCATTGAATTCTACGTGAAAAAGTGCTTTGGAAATGTTTTCATAGAAACAACAAATTTTCGACAGGAAAAAAGTTACAGCAAGTGTTCGAAAATTCACATTTTCGAAAAACATGCTGTAGCTCAGAAACGATGACAGATATCGATGTGCAGTTTTCACCATTGAGTGTGTCATAGAAATTGACCATCAGACACCCACACCAGTTTTCGTCTATCTAGTTTGGAAATAGGACTTTTCCTTTAAAAGTGTCCAATTTGGCCCACCCCGTACGTCCAGAGGACGTACTTCTGGGACGTACAAGACGTCCTGAAGACGTCCAGTGTCGGTCGAGAGACATCCGATGTTACAAAATGGAACGTCCCAAGGACGTCCATATTAGGCCCAAGTTTGGTATTTCATCGCCATGAATACAATAATCAACGTAGAATCGCCTTTTCTTACTCAAATAGATGAAAGAGAAATATATACAGAGTAGAGAAAAATCTTATTTTGAATACAAAATAAAAAAAACCTTCCCACCGGGGATCGATCCCGCGATCATTAGATTTTACCAGGCAGACGCTATAGCCATTACTCCACACTAGTCCAATCAAGATATACATCCGTGCTTGCAAAAGGTCTGGCCCTGGCCATTCTGAATTTTTTATATGTTGTTAGGACCTAAACCAATATTAAAAAACCAGATTTGCAATTTCCAAAGTGCTGTGCGAGCGACGGTATACCCAAAAAACCATGAAACTTTCGGACTTATTTCAGTTTTCGCTCAATATCTTTATAGAGAATAAAGGGTTTGACCGCTATAATCACCCCATAAACTTTCGAAGATAACTGAATTTACTACAATTTGAGGCCAAGGCGAGCTCTATACAGCTATTGGTTCCCAAGATACAGTTCTTCGAAAATGGGCAATTTTTTTGAAAAAGTGGAATTTCTTCGAAATGGTCACCTATTCTGTGAATTATCTTCCAAAATACGCTTCCCACGTCAAAACGGCTGATAATCAAAAACAGTCTACCGTCAGAAGAGCACGAAGAGCGAAGCTGGTTGCTGTCATTTCTCCATACGAACTCCTACAACCACCAGGACTTCCAGCGATCACCAGGGACGGTTCTATTCACCCACGGATTCACCGGGTGCGATACTACCTCAGCGCCGTTTGACCAAGGGAAGACCAAATGTACTACACTCCTGTGCAAGAGTGAACCACTTGCTGAGCACGTAAAAGTTTTTTTCTACAAGCGTGCGTGATTCACCCTATACCGCACGCAATTTAGTTTGGGAAGTGTCATTTTCCCGCATCAGTGCGGGAAAACAATGATATGATAAAATCGCTAGTAATATAAGTGGTTGGTGATGGAATATAAAAGTTTAAGTTTGTTTGTTGCAGTATTAAGTATGTATGTTCAGAATCATCCATCAAATTGCACTATTTATTGTAAAAATTAAGAAATATTGAGAAATAAAAATTGATCATTATAAAAATCCCCCTATAGATTTGGATTGATCTGACGGGAAACGTCAATTTGTCATGCCAATCAAACCTCAAATAAGTTTGAAATTGTCGAAGTGACAGACACAGCGTTACTGTCATTTTCGATTCAGTGGAAATGCCACAATGTGATCAAAAACTTCTAGCTTTAGGGATTCGATACAGATGCGTTATCACCAACGAAGTCTTAAGAAAGGTATGAGAAGCTATACACGCGTTTTATTGAATGGTGCAACAATAAAGAAATGAAAAAACCGAATGAAGAATAGGTATTTTTGGCTCATTTCATAGAAGTGTCTGGAACCTAGAGACCAAACTCCAAATGGGCCTGCTGGCTTCCGCAATGAACCAACATAATGCGTGAAACTGTAAGTTCACAATAGCTATTACTAATAATTAATAGATAGAGAATATATATCTCTTGTTAGTTGTTCCTATTTGCTTGAATAATTAATTGAACGATTCAATCAATTTCCTACGCTTGTAGAAAATATTGTTCCTAACTCATGCGGAAAGTGTCTTTCCCGCACTCGACTGCTTGCCCGAACTCCGCTTCGCGTCGTTCGTGTCAACGGCAGTCACGTGCGGGAAATAATCACTTTCCGCACTTGTTAGGAAAATTACTATTCTTCGGCCAGACTTCATTGACAAGCCGTGAGAGAAGCAGGCATTGAATGTTTTGTGGCTTTATATGAGGGTGATATCGCTCGATTGCCACCGACGGAAGATGCCGCAGGCAGCAAGGTGCTACCTCCAAGTGCAGAAGTGGCGGGGAGTAAACTTGAGTTCTACAGATTGGGGGTGGAAGATGTCTTCTCAGGGATTCACCCCCATCTCCATCACCATGGATCCCGCACCTCTTGCTCTTCTGCGAAAGATCGATCTGTAAATGCAAGAAAGGGTGCCCTGGGAGCTGTTCGTGCAGAAAGGCAGGGCTCCACTGCTCTGTCCTCTGCCAGTCATGCGGTGGCAAATTGTGCACCAACGTCCCGGATGTAGAGCTGAAAAGCTTGGATGATGAAGATGACCCTACTACCGATACAGCTATCGAGACACCATCTTCGTGCGAGCCCAAGCCCGGGCCATCAAAGATAAAAAGAAAGTCATGATTTGGCTGTATGGGGCTCATCTAAGCCTTTAATTATAGCAAATTTAGTTTAATTCAAAAGTATAAATGGTGACTATACCGGTCGAACCCTTCCTTCTCTAAGATATTGAGCGAAAACTGAAAAAAGTCCGAGAATTTCATTGTTTTTTGGGTATACCGCCGCTCGCACTGCAGTTTGAAAATTGCAAATCTGTTTTTTTTAATATTGGTTCAGATCCTAACAACATATAAAAAATTCAGAACGACCGGACCTTTTGCAAGCACGACCCCCTTTTTTCATGTTCAACTTTACTGAACTACACAACGCTTGTTGAAATATGAGGCTTACCTCTGTTCAAAACATGCAAGTAGGATGAAAACATAATATAGGTACATTGAGTGCATACTCCATCAAATGGAATTCGCTATGAATCAGAGTGAATGTTCTGATTGGTCAGATATAGGACAGGACGTAGAATGTGAATATAAATTCATTTTTATATCCTTCGAAATCGGCATCCTATAAAGATTGGATATACATTATTCAGGATAATAATTTGCCAACATTGCCAGATTCAATTTTCCCACATTGTTCACAAAAAATCACTTTTGATTCATTGTAACCTATTATCGAATGAATCGACAGATGATCGGCAGCTAACACCAAAGGGGCCTTTTATTATCATTGAACAATATAATCAATATAAAGTGAATAATGAAATATAGAAAAATTTAAGACTAAAAATGGACGTGAAAACGTACGCTCGGTACGTCCCGAAGACGTACGGGATGGTACGTTCTGAGAATGTTCATATTAGGTTCCGGGACGTACGGACTCGAATAATCGGCCGTAATATGTACGTCCTCGGGAGGTCGTGTGCTGTCTGGGAATGTATATAAGTAAATGAGAATTAGAGCAAATGAGTTATTGATGAGATGATAATGAACAAATCTTATAAATAAACATAGGGACACCGCAAAGTCCTGAGAAGGACCGCGGCGTGGATAGACTATACCTATAGTATACATATTTATATCAAACACAAATACATTAAAATGTCATATTATTAGTAGGCAGGCCGCACATGCATTCACCATATATATTTATAAAACGTAAATAAACAGAAATGCTATATTTGTATAGTCTATGCAAAGTCAGTTGGGACAGCCCATCCAAGGAATTTCGGCGGCAGCCGTCCCCTTAGAACTTTTCAGAGGGACGGATATGGCCCGCGGTGATGTGTTGTTCAACTGACTTTGCAAAGACATCAGAGAGTTGAAGTGTTGTCATGAACGTTAACGTAAACGTAGAAATTGATAGCTACGCATGCGCATTTTCCAATTCTTCACGTTTGCGTTGTTAGTGGGCTTACGGGTGTACGTTATCTCACGTTCCTTCACGTATACCTTAAATATCAACGTACGTTAACCAAACAATACTCGAAATATGCCGATGAGTCAAAATTATCAAATTCGAGATCACCAACGAGTTCTGCATCAAGGGTTCCTCTGATTTTGACAGGAATAAATGTTCGAATCTAAACAAACACACAACCAAAAATGACCAATACAAACCGAAAACAAAATGTATTATTACGTTATGATGACAGTGACGACCAAAGTGGCGACTTCAACTCAATTTAACGACAATACGTAAACGTTATTTTTCGTACG